GAGAGAGAGAGAGAGAGAGAGAGAGAGAGAGAGAGAGAGAGAGAGAGTAAAGTAAACAAAATCCGTATACAGATTTCCAGATAGAAAGTTCACCGTATTTATGATTTATGAATGCATATTGTTTCTGTCTCTCGTGCTGTGATTTGTTTCCACAGAGTTGATAAGTGAACGACGACCAGATGAATTAAATACAATGAAACCTTTTGCCAAAGGATCTTAACAGAATTCAATTGAGATGTGGTATATATATAAAATCGACGATTTTTTTCTTCTTCCTTTTTCGTTCGTCGATTATTTTGTAATAAATTTCCCATTCTCCGTCACGGCAAAATGCTATATATATATATGCAGAGCAAACAACGATGCAAAGCGAAATGGATGGAAAAATGGAAACAGCAGGAAAAAAAGCGGCGCATTCTGATTGTTAAGAGTGAGTGAAACACAGATAGATATTATATGTCTTATCTTTAGGCATGAATAAATGTTTTGCCGTATTTGGAAATTAAGTTGTATTGTTTCGTGAAAGAGCCACTTTTGGTAACGACTCCGTTCCAAATTGAACCATAATCTCATGATGATTCTATTTCTAATTTCTCTTTTTCTCTCTCCCGGTTCTCGATGCAGAATTTCTGCTGTCTGGCAGCGTTTCGACCAACAACAAAAAAATGTGGGCATTAATAAAAAGGACGGACATTCACAATGAAAACACATTTTCAGAGGATTAATTTTGATGTCTTGCTACTGAAGAATTTATTGACATGAACGATGCATATCGCTGAGCTAAATATTTTGAGATGTTCGATAAACATTTCATGTTTATTCTCGGTTTCGATTATTTTCATTCTTTCTTTGTAGATTTCGGTGTCAAAAAGTCTTATGAAAATTCTTCATTTCTACATTTCGAATTTGAAGATTATAAATATTATACAAATGGCGTATTTTCAACTGATCAATGTATTTTCGGGTAAAAAAAAAATGTATATTGTTGCGTATTAGTTGTGTGTGAGAGGAACTGTGATTATTGGTCTGTCTGTCAATTAAAGCATGTCTTATCTATCGTCGGTGGTGTTGTGATTTTTTGTTTGACTCAATTTAATGAATGGGCCTACGATTGACCTTTTCAAACAGTCTGTCGTTCAATTTCAGAGAAGAGATGTGAAAAACTTCGATTAATTTTTGATTAAAAATTGTTAAATGTCGACATAACATGAAATTAAAAATACTTTTGCTTGTGTGTGATGTTAATTCATTATGTGCGATGAAATTGATAAGGGAAAATAATTCATGCCCGGATGAAAATGAATGGAAAATGCCATTGAGAAAATGTCAATTGATTTTACGTTTTCATGATGGGGGCCATGTGATAGAGAAGAATGAACGAAAAAAAAAAAAAAATATAAATAATGAACGGTGATAATGTGTTTTTTTTTTCTTTTTTTCTGTGTTTGTTCAAATAGATTTCCGCAAATAGAAGTTTGCAAGAATTATCGCAGTTGACGAACGTGAACTATTTGAAATTCTTGACCTACACGCACATCACCCAAGATTTACACACAGCCTTCGCCTGTGTTCTGCTTGCTCAATTGCTTGTTGTCTTTCATATGTATGCGCCTTATCCACTGTTGTTGTTATATATATATATATTTTAATCACTGACACAAACAAATCCCAAATAGAAAAAAAATGAAAAAACGGATTTTTCTTTGGCTTTGACCAAAAAAAAAATCCCGAACCCTCAATACGTACTTGCTTTGCATGGATCCATGTCAATGTCGTCGGACACTTTGAACGGGAATTTGCCATATAATAAATCTTCATATGTATATTTGCTGCCGCGATAGATTTGTGATGGAACCGCTGCCGTCAGTTGCTGTGTGGTATTCGTTGTGTATGCATTGATTTGATGACAATTATTGATGTTTGGTAGAAATATCAACATAATGATGAGGGCTGAATACCATAACGACCATAAATGATGTGGTTCACGGAAATCACTGCGAATGCCGTTCTTCATTTTAAAAAAGTGTGTCTTTTGTGTCGATAATTGAGCACACTCATTAATAAGCCACATTATTTGAATCCGAATCTTTTTTTATTCTTTTTTTAAATATGTAAACACACAACGATTCCACCACGTTTGTATTTCTTATGATTTATTGATTGATTTCAATTGCTTCGTTTCTTCATTCGAATAAACGACGGTTGATTTAAATTTCACAACAATCAAATTCAACAACAAAATGATATGTGTCAAATGGGGATTTAAAATCATTTACGACTTATTGACAATATACACACATTCACAATTGCACACATCACATTTTCATTTCTTTTTTTTTCCTTCAACAACTTAACGAACAATTGCAATACACGGTAAAAAACATAATCGTAATAGAATAGCAACGTAAAATACAAACAAATTGTATCATTTAAACTAGAAAATAAAATTTTGTAACAGCTATTAAACACACGTAAAAATGTTCCAAATTTTATTCCAAATTGAATTAATGTTATTTATGACATGAATTAACATCGATGCATCATCATCAACAAACAATAAATAAAAAAACAATCAAACGGAGATTTTTTTTTTTTTTTGAAAATGTTCCTTTTTCCCTTTCTACAAAATTCCAATTGTTTTGTTAGTCAGTGTACAAAGGTAAACAAAACGAAATGCATCGAAATACGTTCAAAACGTGATACTATGATTGTTTCGACGAAATGGAGCCAAAGGTGGTGAAAAGAGGTAGAGTACGAGTGAGACAGAGAGCAGAATATTTTAAAAAGAACTTTCGTATATCGAAAGAGCAACGGTTATTCAAAAACAAAAAAAAAAATGATATTTCGATTGTATGTGCGAAACGGAAATATACACACGACCGATTCGACGGAGTTACGCTCGAAAACTAACTTGTCTGCTGGATCGGTGCGAAACCATTTCGGCACAATGTGTACACATTCGTTCGAAACGGCAACAACAACAATCGACGACGATGACAACGACTACATAAATATGGAAAAATATAGCACAGAAACGCAACTCGGCAAACTCGAAAACTGTATTTGAGAACATCTCAATCTGAATTGAACACCAAAAAATATCGTTCATGCTATGATTGTTGACATTTACATCCATATGCTATTATAATCATTCATTACCAATCACACATCACACATTGTACGACTGCTGTGCATAGATCTTCTGACTGTCATCTGTTTATGACAAAAATCTCTTTCTCTCTCCCTTTCTCCCTTTATCGTGCAGCATACACGTAAATATGCGTACGAACACTTTTTCGTCATATCGTCACACATTTTCGGAGTGTACATGGATGCTTTTGTGTATGAGTTTGCATTCGATGCTCTTCTTCGGTACTTGATAACACCCCAACAGGCAGCAGTCATTTATTTATTTTGTTTTGATTATAATGCGCCCGTTGCTTTGTTTATCATTTTGAATTTAACGCGATAAGGCACGCTACTGATATGAAAACTGCATCTTCGTCTGATTTGCATTCAAACAAACAAATAAACAAAATTGCAATTTGCTTTACACTCATCAGTTTAATAAATATATTGAATATGAATCTGAATTTTAAAAAAATCGCATTATTCGCAAATTTGTCAATTTTATTATAAATATTAAACGATCCATATTCTTTTATATCGTAATTATGATGTGAATTTCGTGTTATAATTAGAATTTATATTATTAAAACATATTCAATAAATGCTTTGATAATTATGTGTGTTTTTGTTTTTGGTTTTTTTTTTTTTTGTAACAAAAAATCAGTATGACACTCTATTGTGTCCGTTATTTAAGTTAAACAAATTGATTTTTTTTGCTAACAATCGTTTAAGAAAAGAAATTATTTTTTTTTAAGCTGACACAAATGAGTTTCAATTATACAAAAGCATTTTCAAAGACAAAGCTGAACAAAGGAAACTTAACGTTAAAGATTTAAACCGAATAAATAACTTGGCTCCATCTGTTGCTAACAATGGGCATGATTCACCTGTCACTTTTCAATCACATTTGAAAACCTACCATAACCTTATCCTTCAAAGACATTCGGAGGAAAGAAAGATAAAACACAGCTGTAAGATTCACTTTTTTCGGTCGTCTTTGCTTTTTTTCTGTAAAAAAGTTGACATCTTTTCGGTATATTAGAATTGCATTGACTGTCTATTACATTCGATAAATAATAAGAGCTAGTTGAAAAAAAAAATGTCGACGGAATATTCGTGTACAACGCCGGAATGTAAAAAAGCGGCGACATTACAATGTCCCACTTGTTTGAAAATCGGAATACAGGGATCATACTTTTGTGGTCAAGACTGCTTCAAAGGCTATTGGAAAACACATAAAATCATTCACATGTTGGCCAGTGAGTTGTAACTATCTTATTTCTATATATATTTTTTTGTTTTCATCTGCCAAGTAAAACTGAGTCAACATCAATTTTTTTTGTCTAAATTGTCTTTTTTTCTTTGCTTTTGTGAAATGAACAGAAGGACCGAGTGGTCTTGAAGCAAAAAATGATGAATATAGTCCTTGGCCGTACTATACATTCACTGGTTTGTAATCTTTTGAACTTAATCATTTTTTTTTTCGATGAACCATTATTCTGACACAACATTATCTTCAGGTAAACTGCGACCGTATCCACAGACACCAATGCGAAAAGTGCCAGAAACGATTGGTCGGCCAGATTATGCTGATCATGCAGCTGGACGGAGTTTAAGCGAAGAAGCATTTCGTGGAAATACGACGATTAAAGTGTTGGACGACGATGAAATTGAAGCGATGCGCGTCTCGTGTCGCTTGGGCCGTGAAGTGCTTGACGAAGCGGCAAAAGCAATTGAAGTTGGTGTAACCACCGATGAAATTGATCGTATCGTACACGAAGCGTGTATCGAACGTGATTGTTATCCAAGCCCGTTAAATTATTACAATTTCCCGAAATCGTGCTGTACATCTGTCAATGAAGTTATCTGTCATGGTATTCCGGACACAAGACCATTGGTGGTAAACTATTTTTTTTTATTACTAGTCTATTTTTCCTATCATCAAATGCTCAAAATATTGTTGTTGCACAGGATGGTGACATTTGCAATGTTGATGTTACAGTTTATCATAGAGGTTTCCATGGCGATTTGAATGAAACATTTTTTGTTGGCAATGTAGCCGAAAAACATAAGAATTTAGTAAAGGTTACGTATGAAGCATTACAAAAGGCCATTGCTATCGTGAAGCCAGGCGAAAGATACCGTGAAATCGGCAATGTCATTCAAAAGCATGTACAATCGTATGGATATAGTGTGGTTAAGAGCTATTGTGGTCATGGTATTCATCGGCTATTTCACACTGCACCAAATGTCCCACATTATGCTAGTAAGTTTGATTACATTAAATTTACATCTTTGTTAAAAACTGAATTTTAATTGATGATTTTTCGTTTGCGGTTGTTCTTTCTTGTAATTATTTAGAAAATAATGCGGTCGGTGTTATGAAAGCTGGAAATGTATTCACCATTGAGCCAATGATATCTGAAGGTAAGAATTTTTGTTTTTATTCAGTTCACCACAAGATATGCATAGTGAAAATGTTTATCACGTTTTTAACATAGGCACATGGCGAGACAGACAGTGGCCAGATAATTGGTGAGATATTTTGTGACTTATATCGAATAAATTCATGTCAATAACTTATTGTACTTTTTTACACTTTTTACACAGGACGGCCGTTACCCAGGATGGTCTATATTCAGGTAACAAAATTATGCTCAAAGTGTCACACAGCTAGCGACACGATGGAATTCAATGTAATCTATACTAAGTTGCCGGCAACTAGTGAAAAGACTTTTGCTACAGTTGACGCTAGCTGTGCTACAGTTTTGAATTTAATACAATTTCTCTTATGGAACATAATTGTTTTTATCGTGTATTGCAGCCCAATTCGAGCAAACCCTTTTGGTAACTGAGACTGGCTGTGACATTTTAACCAAACGTCGATCCAATCCAGAGGGAAATCCTTGGTTCATGGACAAACTTTGAATTCGATAGATATCTTTCATAATAAACATGATTTTGTTTGTTAATTTTTTGAGAGGTTCATTTTGAGCGCAACAGATGCAGACAAAAAAATTGTCATTTATTCACCCAAAAAAAAAAAAAAAAAAGTTGAAGATTTTTGTTAGGATATTGGGTTATCGTGCGGTACATATCTCTTTTCCATCCGCTCATGAATTGAAATTAAATTTCATTGATTTTTTTATTATTAAACTAACACAATTCGTTTTCTTTTAATTTTATATTTAATGTAGAAAATATTTTTGCGTTTTTCATACGAATCGGTGAATTTAAAAGCCGTTTTTTTTTAAATAGAAAACTTAACATCCAATTTGCCTGTGTTTAAATAATGCTGTCAAAAGCTGGATGCAAATAAAACAAGTGGATCGATTCCATTGGAATTTGAATTCTTTATTTGAAACTATGCATATATAATTTATGTTCCATTTGACACAGAAATGACCACCAGAATGGGTCAAAGCATTACATTTTTCAACGGTTTGAATGAACAAAAATTTAATATAAAATTGCTGTATAATGGTTGGTGGAATGACTGTCCGACCGATTTATTGTTTGCGAATAAATTTACAATCAATTGAAAAATTCAATGCGAGTATCCTTTATCTAATTAATTATTTGAAGCTGCTTGTGAAAATCATGCACACGTCGTATGCAACATATTATTTCTCATGCAAATTTAATAAGTTGGTTATAGTTGGCATTTCGCCTTCACGAAACAACCCGACTGAACATCTTAAACGTTCAGAAAAGTGTATTCACCTTATCTCAGACGTTGGTCACAAAAAAAAAAAAAACATTGCTACTGCTATTCGGTTGGAACAGCAATGTATTTTATATGACGTATGTCTGAATGAAGGTGAACATATGTTCCCGAACGTCTGTCTTCATTCAAAAACTTTTTTTTTCTTCATTTTATTCGTTTTCGTTTAATTCAATATTTAAAATCAATTTAAGATCTAATCTAGAAACATTTTACGATCTAATAGTTGTATGAATTAATTGTGCTGCTATTGATTGGTTCATTGGTTTCACCATCAAGCGCTAAACGATCTACCGATTCTGTGTCGTTGAGATAGTCATCTTCACTGGGATTGGTTGTCGTGTCTTGAATAACATCATTAAAAAAATATTGATTTTCATCCCGATGATAATCGTCTCGTCTCATCATCAAATAATCATTTTTCATTTCGGATCGAATAAAATCGGATCTTCTGACATCATTTTTCTGTTTGATTAAACCCAAAACACATTTAAATAAAGTATTCTGGCAATAAAAATAACGTCTGATTTAAATCAGGCAATACCTTCTGATAGTCGTCATCTGGCACATATATTCTAAGTGCGGTTTTCCCTAGTTTTGAAAAAAATCAATAGAAAAATGAGATGAATATGAAAATATGAGAGGGAATCCTTAATAATCTCCTTCGTAATAGTTTTACCAGTGAATTGTTCTGCTAATTTTTCTTGGTGTTGTTGATGTGCAGTCTTTCTACGGCCATTTAATGGCAATGGCGTCGATGATGGTGATGATGACGACGACGACGATGATGATGATGATCCTTCGACCGTATTAATTTTCTCTTTGAGTTCTTCGTTTGCTTTTGCAATTTTAAAATCATTAAATTGTTGGCGTTGACGATTTTCCAATTCAATTTGCGGATCTGGCCGCGATTGATAGTACGTCGATGCCACAAATGGATTTTGATTATCATTTTCGTGATTTCCAATGTTTAATAGTGTGTTCAATTCGGATTCGGTCAATACAGGTTGCTGTACAACAATGCCATTTCCGGTTGGTCGATCGGCCACATAACGCTGAAACGTTGGTGTATTATCTGTGTGCTGTAGTTGTGCGGCCACTGAAAAATCTGGACGCAGTGAAATTGAATTTGTATGCTCGTGTTGTTTATGTTGACTCTGTGCAGAAGTTAATAGTTGGCCAGCGCTTGCAACCGAACCAACATCTTGTAACGATTGTGTATTTCCAGCCGCCAAATCAACTGACGGCGATTGATTTAATGTCTCCAAATGTGATGGCGATGGTTTGAATAATTGTTCACGATGTTGTTTTAGTAAATTATTGGATTGTGTCACCAAATATGTTGGATTATATACGGAAAGTGGAACATTTTGTATCATTGATTGTTGTTGAAGTAGATGCTGTTGTAATTGTGGTTGATTTCCAATTGGTATCGCATAGGTGTCGGGAAGTTGTTGTTGTGGCGGCACCTGATTGGCCATTTGAATTAATGGTGATGCAACTGGAGCTGAACTTATTTGTGGCTGTGACTGTTGCTGTGACTGTGGTTGTGGCTGTGGCTGTGCTGGAATAAAACTAATTTCAAAGGGCAACGGACGTGATGCAACCGCACTCGGTTGATTAAATGAGTCAAATGATTGGGCAATTTTGTATGTTGGAATTGATTGTGCTGAATCGGATACATATATTTTTGTCTGTTTACTAAATGGATCCACTCGTATTGTGTGATCATTTATTTGTTCAGTGACCTGATATTGTGGCACCTGTAACACATAGAAGAATGGTTCAATGAAATTGAAGACAATTTTTTTTATTGACACAATAAACTTACCGTCAATGGTCTAAATGTTATTTGATTGAATTGTGGATCTTTCTGTTCGAAAATTTGATTATCAACCGGCTCATGAATATATTCAGTTTGTGTCGAATATGCGAGATTCTTATGCAAATTTGGGGCCGGCACCGTATGTATCGGATTGTATTTTGTATCATCGGTTAAGCTAATCTTTTTCTTATTCTATAAAATGGGTGAGAAACATTATTATTATTATTAAATGTTGATTCCCCACACGAATGAATTGATTTGGAAATAATACAAACTGGTTGATAGCCAACGTTGTTGAATGGATTTTCGAAGATATATTCGCCGGGTTGTGGTGCAGCTGGTGAACTTTGGAAACGATATCGTGGTGGCGTTGATATCGTTGGCCTGTAGTATGATGCTTGTGGAAGTGGCACCTTTTTCAATTGAGCATATTTCATTGGACGCATCATATATGACATTGATGTTGGATATCGTTTGACAATCATATTTTGTGGAATTCGTCCCGTTGTACGCAAATGCTGAAAGATTTGATGTCGCAACGCTGATGATTTACTATTTGGATAAGGTGGCCATTTCGAAAAAACAAGTGGCGATTTTGTTGCCGAATCGCTAACCATTATAGATGATATGCCACCTATTGCTACCATTAAAACTATCTGAAATTTTAAACAAAATCAATGTACGTGAATTAATTTACTGAAAACGAATTTATATTCCATTTGAAACAGAAGATATGAAACACAACTGATGAATCTGTATACATCATTTCACTTATAATGTGACAATCTCTTTCGTAAAAAATACAAATGTCTGAATTTTTTGAAATTCTAGCTTTTTCCCATGTTGACTCAAGTATTGTCAATTTTTTGCTGCATTTATTTCTTCTTTTTTTATTTCGTTCACGAAAATGGTTAGAGTGTTTAAGATTTGAGTTTCTTTAAAATAAATCTTGAACATAGCTTTTGATCAGGGGTCGGATTACCACCGCCTCCCCTGAAGAACGGATTTTTAAACTACCTTCAACAGATTGTGGAAAACAATTCTTTAATTAAAAGTGAAGACTTTTTTGGTCATTAATTTATTTTCGATAGATAGATATTAGATAGGAGTTACATCCCCCCTCCTCGGACCGTCAGGAGCTATGATTTTAAATGGTGCATAAATTCGCAATTTGAACAATGCATGGAATTGAATCGAATGTTTGTCTGGATGTTTGTATCCAATATGCAAATTGCACCGGTTTCCGGTGATTTTTTTACACTGTGAACCAGAATGCAATGTCTAGTAGAGATGCGACGAGATTTCAATCGAAATGGAATTTTGTTCTCGTCTTAATTGATAACGTTCGTCTTTCGATGTCAATGTGATTGATCAAATAGTTTTTGCAAACCGGTAAATGGCCATTCGATAATATTTGGCTTGTGCCTTTAATTTATTGATTGACGAAGTCTTATTTGATCGATTTTGAAGAGAAGAATTGATGTTTTGAAATTCTTAACGGTTTCTAATTCTTTCTAATACATTGCATTTCCAACATATCGTGATGCTGAAAACTGAAGTTTGACAGCGATAAAATACCGCAATCCCATTTTCACTTTGTAAAAGAAAAGTGTTTTATTTTTGCATTCATCCACAAAACCGCATAACACATAGATCATGTATACGATATCGATGTCCAATATATCTACTTTTCTTCTGTGCAATCCAAACAATTTTGATGCATCGCGGTTTCGCTTTTTAACTAGAAAAATATGATTTTTTTTATACATCTAATCCATTTTTTTAATTTTCATCTTTTCTGTTTTGTTTTTTTTTTGTTACTGGACTGTGTTCGTTCATAAAAATTTTGTTGTTCGCTTGTGTTGTTCATTTATAACATTAGATGAAACGGAATTCGATGTGCATTTGATTAAATACTATTTGTGCGAATAATATATTTTGATTTCGTTTCTTTTGTTCAATTGGGAGAATTTGAAAGCTTTGGGCCGTTTAAACATCTCCATTGGTATATTGGTTCGGTAGTTTTGTTATAAGATTAGCGTGTGTTTCAAGATGAATAAACATGTAGGTTATAAAAGAGACCTGGCATTCGATATGATCGATATTGGTTTGTCGAATCGTGATTACATGTTTATGCACGTTTTTTTCTATTCTTCTTTCTTTCAACTAACTAACAATCTTCTGAAAAGCGAAGGAAAATTAAAATGTACTTCTGAACAATTGAACTGTTTTTTTTTTATTGTTATTGTTGTCAAGTTTCTTGCGTTGTGATTTTTTTTCGCCCGAAAATCACCGAAGAAGTGCGTTAAGTGAAGTGGAATGAAATAAAATGTCAACGCTTTAGTTCATGTTCCGCTAATAAAATGCTGTATGGTTGTTGTTGTTGTTGTTATTCAGTCATTCAATCAACATAGTTCACGACATATGGTGACATTTTTGTATGTCTTGCAGACACTTGTTTGTGCGAACGGAAAATTGCACTTCTTTTTGCATGAGCAATCAACACAAAGGAATATATTTGGATCAAGAGTAAAATACATGACTATTATTAATGAAAGTGAAATTTAAATAAGTGAAATTTAAAAGTTAAACAATTTTCTTTTCCAATTCACGAAACTGCGTGTAGTGTTGTTTTTTTCTTCTTCTTCGCTATTTAACATGTTGGAAAAATAGGCATAGAGATTGCTTGCGTTGAGAGCGCAAAGATAGTCCACATAATTTCTTGATTCTTCTTTTGCACATAGAACGTTTCTATATACATATACCTATGTATGTTCGGTCACACCATTAAATGAACCAAATGGTAAAAATGTGTTGTTTTTTTATTCTCGCGCGCAATGTAATCGAACACAAATGCTCTTAGAGAATGTTGTAACAAACTGTTTGAAACGTGCCATTCATCGGCAATAATATAGGTGCCATTTGATTGGTTGTTATTGTATGTATCGGTATTTTTCTCTTCTTTCTCTGCATACTTTACCTGCTTACCTACATAAAACGGTTTTCTATAAAACGACTATCGCTCAGAATTATTGCGAACATAATAATTAGACAATTGCACGCAACCAGCGATGGCAATATGCACACACACGGGACGCGGGCGCGTAAACATCATATCGTCAATGATTCAACCAAATGAAACGAATTCATTTCTTTTTGTATTTTCTCAATTATTCTTTTCATTTCTTTTTTCGTTCGTTTCATTATAAAATGTAAGTTCTAATTGAGTGATTTTTGGATTTGAAGAGAATGAGATGGATGAGATGAGATCTCAGCAAATAAGTTCCTCTTATGCAGCAGGAAAATAAATTATGATTTTTGCGTCTCAGAGCGTATGAATGAATTTTGGAGGAAAAAAAAACAATCAATATACCACTTCTTTTCGTATCTTTTTTTTAACGATGTTTTATCGCTTCGATTATCATTTAATTAACGGCATTGTTTTCAAAAATTGTTTCAAGACAATTACTCTTGGTTTACTCGTTTATGTGGAGTAATTGAAACGGCTTCTCGTTTATACGTCAGTCCATTATGAATTGTATATGGGTGGAGTAGATTTTAAACCATTTTTATACGACGCATATAGAGTGAGAGAAATTGATTATATCTATTTACTGGATATAAAAAATCGTGGAAAAAATATCGTGTATTAAATTTTGCATAAAACGTGCAATCTTTACAAAATCAAACAAAAAAAAATGGTGCTGTTTTTTGTCGTTTTCACATTTGTCTATCCCTTGATTTCCTTGAAAATTCTATCACGTCCAATTTAGTGAAATTTTTAATCATGTTTGGTTTTTTTCCCTTCCTTTCCATGGTAAAATGAAGATGAAAAAGAAATACATTTTTTTTTCGATCGAATTGTTAATTCAGTAAACATACACAAAATAATATTTTAAAAAAAAAAACAAGTAAAAGAGAAAATACAATAGTAATTGACCATTTGACTTTGGTTATTATATTCTGTGAATTACACGTTTCGCAAATACGCACACTCCACTCGTTAAACGTACATAAAATCGAACGGCAAATGTAAGACAAAATCACAAAAAAAAAATTAGAATATTCGTAAGATTTCACACGTGAAAACGCCAAATGAATAAAAGAAGAAATTATACTATTGGACGCGCTCATAAACCAATTACATATTCAACGTGCATCTGGCATGGATTTATTTTGTTGTTTTTGTCACACTTTAAATCCATTCATAAACTGGATTTAACTGTTTTAGTTCGTCAGTTTAATCACATATTCTGATTTTTTTCATCTCTTATATAGGACAATTTTCACTATATTGATTTATTTTGAATTTGTCACACCAAACAAAATACTTACTATCGATGATATTCTAGAACTTAACATTTTTTCAGACACGATTTGATTGCGAAACAATAATACAACATTAACCTTCAGGGTTGAAAACAACTGTCTATGTAAATGTGATAGAATGCAACCGTCGCTAATTCTGGATCTGCAGTGTTTTTTTTATTTATTTTTTTTTTTTAATGTCTGAAGTTGAGTTTTTACTAAACTATTGAAGATCAGTCGGTATATGTTTAAATGTCTTTAACGAAATGTTTGGATATAATTTGATATAATTGCGCTTTGAATTAATAGACGCGTTGCGAATTTACCGGTCAGGCAAGCAAAATAACTGCCAACTGATACTGTTCACTGTTCAACACAAACTGATGATTGTTGTGTAGCTTATGCAGACCGTGAACTTGAATTGCCAAACGTATTGCCAAACGGTGGTTTTACTCTCTCATTTCGCAGCAAACCAAACGAAGGAATATATAAAACAAAGCACAGCAATAAACATCACCACATATATTTGAGCAACATAGATCGTTTAGCGAAATGAAGAATTAAACACACGTTTGTACAGCGCGTGCTAAGTTTGTGCAGCAGTATATATGAAACCAAAAAAAAAAAACAGAGAGCAAGAGGTAATGACAAAATCAAATAACACACAATCAAAACCAAAACGTCTCTACTTTAGACGAGAAACATTGATCATACACAATTACATTTATGATGTTGTAGCATTCGAGCGGCATTTTAAATGGAACGGATGGTAAAACACAATTTAAGCGAGACCAACATATATACAACCATGTGGTTGAATGATGGTCGCTTTTCCTGTGAGCTGATATTACGGCAGCACACAAACACCAGAGTCAGAGTTTTCCATTCACCAGTCACTTATCGGTGGCAAATCAATTGAAGCATGAAAACATGCAGGCAAAATCATTTTCATTATAGAAAAGCAATCAAAAACAAACGGCAAAACCACGCCATCGTACATTTTCACTTTGGCCGATGACGGTGACATTCAATCCGTATTTCCAGGAAAATGTGGCTCAAAATTCAAGCACAAACTCTTACAACTCTTTTAATTTAATCGTGGTTACCAACCAAAAACCGAAAAATACTCGACTTTAAATATTTTTTAAATAGTAAAAAATAAAATTCACTTTTCATCACGTTTGCGATTGGTAAACGAATTATGATAAAAACTTTCATTATAAAAGTGCAAAAATTGAAGAAAAATGTTAAATCATAATACTGATCAATAACGTTTTTTTTTTAGCATGGGATGGGCGCAACGCTTATTTAACTATAAGATAAGACATTTATCGCGCTTCGCTTGGGGGCCGTATATGCCGCTACATCTATACAGCTCGAAAATGGTTGCTAACACTTTTTCAGCACCATTGAAGCATTCAGTTATAATATAAGCAATTTGTATTTTGCCGAGCGAAAGTGTGATATTTGGTTTGTACGTTGGCCGTTGTAATTCACAATGCACTTTTACTATTATAATGTTCGACGGATTTAAAGCATATGTATAGTTTGTATGTTTTTGACAAAATATGCATATAACGTTGATTTTTCTAATTTCTTTCCGCAACCGATTTTTTTTTAATTTTCGCTGGATGTTTGAATGTTTTACACACCGAAATACATTTCGGTACATTTACATTTTACATGAATTCACATTTTTAGCATTTGAACAAGATTTGAAAAAGCATTCGAGTTAACATTTACAATCTCAAAACTATGCTTCAACAAAATCACGGAGGAAGTAAAAAAAATCTATTACTAAAACAAAATAGACATTTAAGGGCAATAAACATATTTATCAGTTGTTTGTGGCTTCATTGAAAAAATGCAATGCATAAATCGATTTTATTAAGAAAAAAAGCCAAAAATATTCATTGGTTCGCATGATAAACTTATATTTCAGCGGTATCTATTGCTTTGCTTCAAAATCGGATACTTCCAATGGTAAGGGAACAAAATGCGGAAAAAATGATTTACATCGTATCAGTTGAACTGGGTATAAAATACTTTTTTTAAATTAAAAACTTTACTCACCTACGGGCACTCCCCCTCCGTACAATGTTGTACTATTGTACAACTAGACCACAAGACTTTATATAGTCTGTTCATGTCTAGCTAAGCTAACTATAATAGTTAAAATATTTTATTTTATGTAATTTTTTGAATGTATGATTAATTGATGATGTTTGTTAGTTGACATTGTTGTTTTAGTCCGGCGGTCTTAACAATGAAACTGGCAATGGTACATCAAAGATCCGGCAAAGTCCTATGTAATTTAAAGCAAATACATTAAATAATGAATATTCTGTTTCCAATTGATTCATACCTTTGAGCATAATGCATTTTGCTGCAACAATATCTCGGTGCCAAGTAACTGTTTGTGGAACAACATCATCATCATCAACATTTAATGGCCAATTTTTGTAGGTAACTTTAACCTTTGACATTAAACGCCCAGTCCGAATTTTTTCGTTCACAGCCTCACGATTGCCATCGATAATTTGTCGCTTAATAATTGCACGTTTTCTTCTCAAAACACGTCTGTTGACCGTTGACACAATGATATCTGGCAGTCCAGCGACTAAATCTGGCAGGCCATCAATCTTTTTCGCTCTACAATCGTAGCACACTTTAAATCGATCATCTTTTGTGTGCCTTGGAAAACGTTCCTGACAATTCGCGCATGTTTGTGATGTTCCCCATTCATCTTGCATTTCAACTTCTGAATGTCCAAGTTTCTTAATGCTCACACGAAACTTACGCGATCCCGGACATCTTTTACGCTTTTTTATTCCAAACGGTCGATCGGGTTTCATCGCCCAAGCACCAAATTGAACCAACGACGGTTTGTTGTTTGTCACACGCACGGCGATTTGATCATTTACTCTGGTCGAGCGAATGTGATGGTCTAAATCCAGTCGTGCATATTCACGCGTCGCATAAGCTGCCATTCCTTTTCGTAACATTTTAATGCGATATTCAATGTATGATTTCCATGTTGAATTACGTGGTGATGGTGGACGATATGGGTATGTTTTGAGATGTTCCTTCTCTTCGATATCAAACCATCCAGCCAACTTTTTCGCTTCTTTGTCTCGTTTTTTCTGCTGAGTTTCCCAATGAAAACGCTGGTTTGGTATTATAATGTTTTCCTTCAAAATGCAAAATGATACAAAAAACTATGAGTTTCTATTGTAAACCATTTCAAATTACATTTCAAAATATCTTACCTCAACAGCCGGCTCATCAGGTGTTTTTTGAATGTTGCGACGCACTACAGTTAACCACGATTTTTCATTCGGATCGATTCCAATGATGTATTTCTTGCCAATGAGTTTTTCCGGCCCCCGATTCGCTTGGGTTGTTTGCTGTGGTCGTTGTTGTCGCTGTGGTTTCTTGTACATTATGGATATTGAAACACTATCGGTCAAAATCTGATGATGGAATGGTTTCGATTTGCCCAATTTATATATTTTACCGACATCGAACAACATATTCCATAGACCTGATCGATCAATTTGGGTGTAGTACTTTACTTTTCTCTTATTCATCCGGTTGGTCCGCGTATTGAGAAAAGAAGGCACCAAATCAAGCTTGTTTACAATTTTATTATACAAGTCCGTAATGTCCAATCGCACGTTTTTCAAATGGTAGTCGCATAATGGTATAAGAGCAAAACTGCTTATTTTTGGTGGTCGATTGATTGTTGGCTCTTGAAAGTTCGGATTGTTACGAAACATTTCATGAATGGTATGCCATTGTTCGGCATGACTGTGATACACTTCTATTTGCCGTTGCATTTGACCGAACAACCACAGTGATTCAAACCAACGATATTTTGCGAAAAATTTCATACTCACTGTTCCCGACCATCCAATTTCAGTCAAATCTCTCATTAAAATATTGAATTTTTCAACGCGTTGTGGATACACATTATTACCATTATTACCATTTGTTAAATTCTTAAATCGATATGAAAACTCTTTGGCATTTCTGATGTCGATGCTATCAAATCTTGAGCCATTGTTGAATCGATTGCGATACCAACAACGCATTCGAAAAAAATTCTCAAGTCGTTTTTCACACCATGTGTTGGTATTGGTTTGAATGTTTGTGATATATTGTTTATAAAAATATCTCAAACCATTTCCCAACTTTTCATCATCTGGCCATCGGAACTGTTCTTCACTGTTTCTTTCTACCATGAAACGAAACTCGGGCAATATCCGATATTGACTATTAATATTGTTAACGTGTTGGTTTAATACCGCTCTGAAATAATCGGCAATGAACAGTCTTGGATGTGGTTGCAAAAAAAATGCACGATCGTCATTATCAAGTGCTTCATTCAAAATAAAAAGAATAGAAAGTGATGCCAATGCTGCCACTTCTGTCATTTGAACACTGTTGTCGCAGGATTGTTTGAAGTCCACATTTTATTACAACGTATTTGCTTTCTTCTGGTTGATTATCATCGAGCTCGTCGTCATCCATGTCTTTTTCTGTTCATTCTCAAAAAACTGATCAAATTATTCGAAAATAAAAAATAGACACAAATTTAGAAAAAAAATGCAACAAAAAAAGCATAGATTACGAATAAAATGAGATCACAATTTAAATGAAAATCACTTATATCACAATTCAAATTAATCACTTCTTACCTCAACGATGTCACTCTGTATTCTGATTCAAATGATGAAATGTTTTCCAATATTCCGCAGATGAAAATTTTGTTGGAATATTCACCGTCAATTTTATGAATGCTTTCTTATTTTGAAATAACAACAGAGACAATCTCAAAACCAACAGTGAATTTATCCGTTTAACATCGAACAAACAAAATCATTGGAACAAATGTTAGCCAAAAATGACGACAAACAAATTGTTTCATACTCTAATATAAACACTCACACATAATTCTCAAGAATTCCTTTTACAAGCAAAGCACAATTTGTTACAAACAAAAAATGAGAACACACTCATATCACAATTCAAATGAATAACTTCTTATACTATATAACGCTGTGTCCTGATTAAAACGATGAAAATGTTTTTTTTTTATTTTGAAATGAAAACAAAGACTGTCACAAAACGGACTGTGAATCTTTCCATTTGACATCGAGTGACTTCTACAGTTACGTTCCAAACACACCAAACCGTTGCTAAAATGACGATAAACAAAAAATGAATCTCATGTACAAGAATTCCATTTATTAATCACTGAATTTTGTTTTTTTTTCAACACAATGGCAACTTAACCATAATTACTTACCTTATTCTTAACAATAACTTCAAAATATTTTGATGCGAAAAAATCCCTATTTAGTTCGGTGCCGGAATTATAATTTCATACATTGTTTAAAGAAATTAATTGATACGATGCAATGTTTACGAAGCACATTTTGAATGTAATCAGAAAAATCGGTTTCGATATGATACACACCAATACACACAGCTACCAACTGTCAAATGTCGTACACATTCAAACATGTTTCGAATTCGAAATTCGAATTTGAATTATGAAATAAAAAAAATAAAAAAATTCTCTGAAACTAAAATCAAATCAAACAAATCTAAAAAAAAAGGTACATTTATAAATGTATTTCACAGTCACTTGAAATTCCTACGCAATGTTTTTTTTATTCATGCACAATCGAAACACACACAGAGAGAAGAGAGTAAGATTTGTATTTTCATCCTCTTTTTTTCCGGTTTGTTTTTCAAATTTCATTTGCTTAAAATCAATCGTATGAATACGATATTATGAACTCAACGAGTTTATGTTATTTACATTTGTTTACATTGTATTGCCGCTACAGTTTCTTAGAATATAATAACAAAAAGAGAAACAATCGAAACACACAGAAGATGTTGTTGTGTATCGCAACACGAAAAAGCCGAAAAAGTGGTTCACATTATGCCTTTATTCTACCTTCCATTTGACACGAAAATTGCCACAAAAATAAGTTAAAGCGTTACATTTTTTAACGTTAAAATGTCCTAAAAACGTTACATATTTGTCCGTTGGGTAACAAACAATTATTTACGACTATCCATTCGAATCATGGTTTTTAAAGTCAATGTCCTTTGAAACTAACTCAACGTTAAAACGTTTGCGATCCGTTCGAATAGTTAGCCATAAACGTTTAAACTGATACATAGAAAATGATAGATAACTTTTGATTACTTTGATTTCATGGTCGATTGGTTTGAAATCTGTTTTTTTTTTAAATATACAAAATGAATTTGTCACTTCCGTTTGCACTTTATGTTATGGTTCATTAACACTCCATAAATGAAATTGCAACGCATTCATTGCATTTTGTTAATAGAAATGTAATTCCATTTTTAAACGCATGATTTACAACAAACATGAAAACAAAGCAATGAAAAGTGTTTAGTTTACACATTATTGTTATACAATTTAACAAATTGACCATTGATTAGATTTGTTATTATATTAACGTTATTGGTGAGATGAGTTGCAGTCGATATGGTAAGTGGCCACAGCGATATTCACCCTCAATAAGACATGCACACGGTTTAACATCTCCGAGTTGATTCCGAAAAAATTCGAATCGAGTACTTACCTTTTAAATTTATAAATTTTTCTTTGAAATTTGAAAGTTATAAAAATCGAAACTCAAATTTTCTTTTCTTAACCAATATATTATATTTGGGTTAAAGCTATATAATCTTATATTCAATACAATTATGATATCTTGTTGTCGTTGTTAAACTTAAAAAAATGATGAACTGTATGTGTTTTCTTTCCTTTTTGTTATTTTCCGTTATTTTCTCATTAAGCGTTAACATTCTAAAATATATGTTTGTACAATGAAACGTGTGAACCAAAGTAGCTCACTATATATCATATAAATAGAGATGTCTAAGAACTTGTGCAACAAAGCACTAAAACTAAAGGTTTTCTATTTTCGACTGATAATCAAATTGAGAGAAGGAAATTTCGTTTGATATTAATTTCTTGTGCTACGTAATTGTGTTATTAACACATCACTTAATTGGGCGTCCAGAGCGTGTTGCATCATTGGTGGTTGTTCGACCGCGTTTAAATTCAGCATACCAATCGGTGATGGTTGATTTATCTGGGGCAGAGTCCGGATAACGCTTATCAAGCCAAGCCTTTGCTTCGTCGGTGTTTTTTCCTCTCAAAAAGCAATGCTTTGTTAAAATACGAAATTCTCTTTCATCCATTGTTTTAAAAATAACAAAAGTAGCGTCACTTAAAGCACTGTAACTTGTAAATGAATGATCGAAATGTCATGAAATTTTGACATGCGTCGTTTGAAGGATTGTCCTTTCCAGAAACATTATGGATTTTGTGGCGCCACCTATATGTCAGACCGGAGACTTATTGAGTGATGTGTTACAGTTCGAGTAACAAAACCTCCTCATACTCCTTTTGCTAAAGTTGATGCATTCCCGTTGTTGATGCATTCATCATCATTCTGTCATCGTATAAAGATAGTGTTTTCGATGCACGTACTTTTCGAACGCTTTTTGGTACATCACCCGGGGTTTTGATTCGTTCACTTGGATCCCGAAGTCGATCAATGCTGCCTTTAACACCAAACACATCACGAAATACTTCTAATGATCGTTGCCGTTTCATATGCCATTCATCCGGATAATCGGATGTTTGGAGACTTTTCATGGCGTTCGCTGATTTCGATACAACCAGACCGCTTGATTTTTTTAACCGATTTGAATGTGACGATGGTTGTTGTTGATGATCGGCTTCATCAATAATTGTGAATTGTTGTGAAAAATCGCCGGGTGGCCGCTTATACATGCTTTGATAGTTTCGAAATGAGCTTGAATAGTCGGTGATTTCTGATTGTACTAATGATGTGTCTGGTGCATTAATATGCGGCAATGCTAAATCTAAATTCTTTGGACGAATCTGTGGCAAGTGCTTTGTTTTAATATGTACACGATTATTGTCAACGAGATTGGACTGCTGAAATATCGATGGTGGTTGACTTTCACCCAATTTTCCAATTGATTTATTATAATCCGATGTTAGAATGGACATTTCATCGCTACGCTTCGCATTTCGTTTGTTCAACAACGATCGAATTTTCGTCCAGCCATGTAATTTTGGTAGTAGTTTACTTGTTGTCGATAAATGTTTGTCGCCATTACACACTTTTATGTCGTCGGATGTGCTGCCAAGCCCATGATGATTTGAAATGGGAAATGTATCGTTGACTGATCGTAAAATGTTTGGATTTGACTTGAATGTGGTGATTAATGTTGTTGCTTCGGCCACTGTTGGCGATTGTAATCGATGTGTAGAAATTTCTCGTAAACGTTCTTCCACACACAATGCTGTTAATCTTGCGTCTGGATCATGATCCCAACAATCTTCACATGTATCCTTTGCTATTTTTGCCGATACATTTCGTTTCCATGCGCACGTAAATTTCGGCCGGACTTTTTGTCGCGACACAAGTATTTGCATTTGTTCAAGTGACGGCGTCTTACCAACTTCTGCTTCATATGGTTGCTTGTATGCCGAAATCGGTTCATCCGATGCATAAAATTCATGACATCGTGAATATAATTCCCATAAAACTAAACCCAAACTATAAATATCAACCTGTTTTAGTGCCGTTTCACAATCACGTAAATTAACCGCTCCTTCAAGTATCTCGGGTGCCATATAACGAATTGTGCCGACCTCATTGAGACTTTTGTGTTCGGCCAATGTCATTGCCCCCTTCCATTCGTAACGTGGTCCAAATGTTTTCAGTGCAAAACCAAAATCCGAAATGCAACACGATTGATCGGCTCGAACGAGTATATTTCGTGTATTAAGATCTCGATGTGCAACGCACGGTTTTATCGCATTGCCAGCATTCATTTCGGTATGCAAATACGATAGACCACCGGCAACTGAACGTGACATTTTAATATAAACTTCAAATGATGCCGTATTTTGTGTTAACCAATCTTGTAGGCATCCCAATGGTGCCAACGATAATACCAATAAATATTCAATATTATCATCGAGCGTACGTCGTTCATCACAACCAAAATATTCCAAAAAATATGGTGAATCCATTGACAGTAAACAGTAAATATCTTTTTCATTTAAAAAGAAATCTTTATGCTGAGCTGGAAACAATTTCACCGCAACCGTTTGTTCATTTATCATTCCCTTCCATACGGTACCATATTTACCTTGGCCAATCATCGAACATAATTTTAAATTATCAACATTCAACAAATCCGAACTGTATTTTGGATTTGGTGATGGTACATTCAATAATTTTGGTTCGGGTTTTGTAAAACGGTTTCGACACAATGTCACATAAATTAAACTGACAATCATTGGAATTGAAATGATCAACACAACAATCCATAAACGTTGCGATTTCAATGCAGACAGAAATGTTTCGTTGAATGAACCATTTGACAATGCGTCGTTATCAATCGAATAAATATTCGGCTCAATAATTGGTTTCGGGCGATCGGTTATGTTTATGTTACACATATGGCCGGTACAACAACAATAAAGTGGCCATTGTGGTCGATTATTTATACATTCATCCGTTCCACATGATGTTGGCTTCTCTAGTAAACATCCTTGGCTCTCAATTATCCGCGTACCTATGGGGTTAATGCACAAAAGAAAATAACGAATAATCAAAGAAATAATTAGTGAATATAATCGAAAATAATCCGCATACCATTCGCATCAATTTTCCATACTGCGTAGCAAACATCGTTTTCATTATCACATTTCTTTTCCTTCATCTGAAATGTTTTCATTTGAATATAGAAAAATCAATTATTGCCAGAGAAATCCGTTCACATAATTACAATTACCTTTTCATTCTTAATAATATTTTTATCATTGACATCTTCGTACTCGGCACTGGACTCGTCGTCTGTCGTCGGTTTCGAACGATAATCGGCACATATCAATCCAACTCCCTTGCGAGCAGTAACTAAACAACAAATAAATTATATCAGTGGTTTATAACTAATTTTCGTTGCGGGATCTTTAAGTCGTCCTTAATATGAAATTGTGCAGATACAAACCTGCTGCATATGTATTCCCATATAATATAAACAATAATATGGTCACACACCCAACGAATCTTAATGTACACATATTGACAATTGAATCAACTGAATTGACTTAATATATGAACCTTTAGTTCAAAGAAATATACAAACTGTGTGGCTGTTCGGTTCACTGTAAATCTTCACTTTTTTTTATTCGATTAGTTTTTATTATGCATGTAGCATAAATGATTTTCGTAATAAATATATCATGTCGATGTTTCACTGTTGATATTTATGCACACAAACACACATACACATCCTATTGGATAAATCAATAATTTTTTTTTTCGATTTTAAGCTCCAAATTTACAAAAAAGTATTCTATATATGCAATCACACGATAGTTGGTCCTATTCTACATTTCTATTTGTCATAAAAATCATCGTGAAACTAATTTTCTTTTCTCTTTTTTTGGACCGTGTTCAACACAAGTTCAACCTCTATTGTTTGTGTTGCTCAGCGTTGAATTTGTTCTTTGCAAAAAATATTTTTCAGTGAATGAGAAAAAGAATATGATAGAAACGAAAAAAAATCAACTTGGAATTGTTGAACTTTTGTGTGAAAATGATTAAAATTGAAAAAATGGAATCGCTTTATATGATGAGCGACACAAACACACTGTAATTGTTTATGCAATTACGAATGAGAAATGCGTTTCATATTTAACACAACGCAAAACGTTCATACCGCGCATCAACCCCAATCCTTCATAGTTGACAATCGACAATGGATTGAGGGGAGAAAAAGTGATACTGCGCAATGCTTTTGTAGATTTTTTTTTTTTTTGAACATTCTTTATTGTCATTTATTTATAATAAGCCGTAATTTATTATTTTTTTTTTGTTTTTCAAACATCAACAAGCAAAATAATACTTTTATATATGATATAACAAAGCAAATAATTAAACTAGTCAACGGCATAAATTTCCTCCAGAAAACTTTTACAACTTCGCATTGCTTGATGATAACATTTATCAAATCCATCCGAATTATTGTCCTATTTGAATGAAATGCATAAAAATTACTTTAATTTTTTATATAATGCAGGGAATTTATAAATATGGAATAATGAATCGTACGCAATAAGGATCCCGAATGATTCGTTCGCCTTGTGGATCAAAATCACCTGAAATGAATGAAATTAATTGGAATAATAATTGGTTTTACTATTCGTTTGTACGTACCTAGAAGAAAAATGTGCGCGGTGGCATCTTTTGGTCGCAATTCGTGCAAATCTTCGATGTTGTAATCGTCCATTCCCAAAATATAATCAAATGTGTAAAAGTCTTCGGTGGTGATTTGTCGAGCCCGATTATCATAACCCAAATAATAGCGTTCCATGATCGCAACCGCACGCGGATTTGGTCGATTACCAACGTGCCATGATTCAATTGCTGCGCTATCGATTTCCCAATCACGTTGATATCCAGCTTTTTTCACCAGATCCATGAAAACAGCTTCAGCAATTGGAGAACGACAAGTATTCCCTGAAATTGAGACATTTTTTTTTTGACACAATCAATAAATTATTATTCAAATATTTGAACATTTTTTTTACAATACCCAAACAAACGAAGAGAATCCTTTTTTTGGTACCCATGGTGAAGGTCAGATGATAATGTGCGAATTACAAGGAATCATTTTTTTGCCACAAGCAAAACATACTAAATTCAATACGAATTTTTTTCGTGATTTACTAATAAAATAGAAAGTCTACAACATTTCTCCGCCAAGTGAACAATCGAATGATTTTCATTTCTCCACTCTCCACCCAAAGCTCATGATGTAAATACGATTTGTTTACATTTTATTTATTCAAACATAAAATGATCCTTTAAAATGATATAACTCTTGCTGAATATTTTTGAATCGCTATCGGAACAGAAAATATCGAAAAATTAGTTATAATTCTGTAAAAAATAAATATTTCATTCAAAATTTCTTACCCTTCTTTGGGCCCGTTCACATTTGTCTGAATCAAAATCATCACCTGTATCGAAGAAAAAAAAATACATCCGAGTCTCTATCATTGTCATCAAATTAAATATCGCGCCATATGCCACGAACAAAAACTGTATCACATCTTTAATTGTTACGTCGGCTAGGCTTTTTATTCTAGCTTTGGAAGATTTTCGAAAAATAATTCGTATTTTAATCCTTCGATCAATTTAAAAATATTGATTACACGCACAGATAAATAGAACGATGTTTTGTGACGTTGTATCTGCTGTATTATTTACTATTGATGCAGTTTTGCAATCGAATACAAATACAATTGACATTTGTTATTTAAAATATGTGACAGATTCAGGGGAACAACAACAACAAACAACACATTTGGAGAATAGTCATACAAATATTGACACAAAGAGGAAAAATAATAACAAATAACTTGAAGTGTTTAAATAAAATAATTAGATAAATGAATGGCATTAGTTGGGAGCATTTTCTATGTGATATCAAACAAATTCAAAACATTTCACAGCATTTGAATGACGATTGGGAAATTGTTTCTGTTGTAAGAAAATCTTTTTTCTCTCTTTTTTTCTAATGATTTAAACATTAAAATATTTCAGAATAATGAAGTGAGCGGCACATATCTTACGAAGACAATATCATTGCCATTTGCAATTGAAGGAGGTTCAAATGAAATAATCGAAAGAACAATTCAACCACCAAATAAATTTGAAGAAGAAGACTATCTATCGTTCGAATCACCATCGCAAGCATCGAATTCTATAACAAAACAGTTGCTAAAATTTGAGTACCATGTACTATACCATATCAGCTATGCGGTTCCATATTTATGCTTTAATGCTTACAAATCCAGTAAGTTATTAAATTGAATTTTATTTATTGATATTGCCTTAAAAAAATATTTCTTCTTTCCAGACGGTTCACTGTTGACGTTAGACGAAGCTTGGAAAATATTCAACGATTTTGGTCCATTGAAATCGAATCCAATTCAACAAAATATGTTAAATATTTTGACTCAAATGGAACATCCAATTTTATTTAAACCATTTTTAACATTACATCCATGCCGAATAGCCGAAGTACTTCATTCATTACCTCATAGTCAGAACAAAGTGTTAAGCTTTTTAAGTTCATACGGTCCAACGATATATTTAACATTCGATTTAGAGTATGCAAACCAAATAGAAAATAATAATAAAGAAACAAACAAATTTACCTGAAAACGAATGTGAATTGCTGTTTTTTTTTTAATGATTCATTATTTTTTGCTTTCTTCAATAGGGACGTCATTTTGTAATGTGACGCATTGAGCGCCCTCTACTATAACTTGATGCATTCACATGACATTTGTTATTCGTCTAATTAACAAGGTTTGTGACTGAAAACTACCCATTACTTCCAGGCAAAACTATCAACAAAGCCAACTGAAAACGCTGATATAAACAAACATTTGATTTGTTCTTCCATCATCACAAAAATTGTGTAAGTAGCTCTTTATCTTAGTCGAAATCATGGTTGTATTTTGGGTTGAAGTTTTCATTTTGTATGTGGAAATTTTTTTTTGTAATTTTTGCAATTTTAGACACAGAACACAAGCAAAGCAAGCAATTGGAGCAAAAGTAGCAAACCAACATAAAAAAGTAGAGTGTGTGTGAAAAATGGAGCAATTGAAATGCGGTGAAGTGTACCGCGATTTAGACGGAAATTTTAATTATGTATGCAACTGTTGTTCATTTGAATTTTTATCGGCGTCCGATTTTGAGGAGCATATCATTATTCATTGTACACTGAGTTCGTCTATACTGAAAGAAGAAAAATTAATTGAAATTTCGAACGATGTAAAGCCAAAGTATTCCATTGAAATTGAACCGGTACTGAATCATGAGATTGACATCGGGCCAGATGAAGACGATGAAGATATGGACGAAGAAGAAGAAGAGGAGGACGAAGAAGAGGATATCGATGAAGATGCAACATTTGAAGAAACTGAATTTATCATTGAACCCGAAACAACCATACAAGAAATTTTAAATGAGTTGGCCGATGATTCGATATTCAAATGTGATTGTTGTGATAAAACGTATGCATGCCGTGGTCTTCGACAACAGCACATTCATAATTACAGTGATGAGACAAAATCATGCAAACTTTGTCCAGCTTACTATGAAAAAGATGCCGAATTGAATGCACACAAAAAAATTCATAATTTAGCCAATACGCTCGAGTGTCCGCATTGTTTGGAAATGTTTGCATCGGTGAATAAACTAAAACGGCATTTAACATCGAGCAAAACTGAAATGGGCATACCGACGGCGCGACGTCCGAGAAAAGTTGCATTGAAAAAGAGCCACGATTCAAGCCACGATTCACTTGAATTTGATGACAATAAAATTATGGAGGATGGTGTTGATGATGATTTTTTCGTGGAAGTGGAGACGGGCGATAAAAAACGACAAAAATTCGTGTGCAAAATATGCCAAAAAGAATATTCGTATTTGCATTATCTGAAAAAGCATTTAAAACGTCATGTCGACAATACATTGAATCATAAATGCAATATATGCGGACATGAATTTAAATTACGACAAAATTTGACCGCTCACATGCGCACACATACGGGTGAAAAACCATTTAAATGCAGGTAGGAAAAAAAGGAGAAAATAGCACAATGAAAAATGCCCATTATTTTTTATTGAATTTTTCAATTGTTATTTTTATATTTTTTTTTTTGGTAGATTGTGTGGGAAAGCATTCAACCAACCATATTATATGACAATACACATGCGAATACATCAAAAGGAGAAACCATTTCAATGTACATTATGCGGTGTATCGTTTGTAACATCAAGCCATTTGGGACGGCATATGAAGAGCCACAACAACATCAAACCGCACAAATGTACATTTTGTGATCGTGCATTCATTTTACCCGGCCATCTACAAGATCACATACGGTCACAACACACGCACGAACGACCATTCCCTTGTGACGTATGCGGTAATACATTTTCACGGCGAAAATTGTTGCGCCAACATAAGCAACTGCATGGCGAAAAGCGATTCAAATGCAAATATTGTGATCAAGCATTTTCACAATCGGCCGGTCGACGTGGCCACGAGATTCGAGTGCATAATGCACCAAACAAACCATCGACCAATTTGGATTGATTCACACCCTCGCTCACTTAAATCGAATTCTTAAATTTAAATTACTTTCCATTGTTGTGCTGGAAAGCTGGAGAGATAAAAATTAAAGCTAATTGAAAAAAAAAACACCGAATTCAAACTATAAGAGTAATTTATTTTTTAAGTTAGAGACATTTTTTTCTTTTATTTTTAAAATATGTGTAAGAGTTTATTTTTTAAGTACATTTATTTCAAAATTACAACAACGGCAAAAAAAAATGCGTCATTTACATTAATACCTTACGAGAGGGACAATATTTTGACATTTGTACGACATAGACAAAAGTGAATTCAATAAAGAAAAAAGTCAACAACATTAAAAAAACATAATCGTATATTATTTGAGATTCATATGTACTGGATGTTGGTTGGAATTTCGTCGAAAACAAATCAGATAAGAACATTTCAAAAACATGGCCGATAGTGGATATGACTGGCAAGATCATAATAGGCGATTGGCACTGGAGGGACGTCAAATACTCGAACGAACATCAGCTAGTTTGGCGAGGTCGAATCAAGTTGCAATTGAAACCGAAAACATTGGCACTGAAGTGATATCGGAATTGGATGAACAACGTGAATCATTGCTGCGTAGTCAGCGACGTCTTGATGAAGCCAACGCTGACCTATCCAAATCAAGTGCCATTTTACGTGCAATGCAACGTAACATTTTCTACAATAAGCTAACATTGATTCTAATTATTGTTTTGGAAATATTTTGTTTGATTGGAATAATCATTCTTAAGGTTAAAAAATAGAAATAAATGTGTTTAGTTTGATACTTCTGTGTTAATATCGAATAAAATATAATTATAGTATATGGTTAATGACAAGTGTTTCAAGTCTGCCATTCGGCTGAGCATAAGGAATACAATATATGAATTTGTAACTCAATTTATACAAACACGATGATGACGAAGAAAAATAAAATAAATTACCTGAACAATTACATCAAAAGAGTTGCATTTTTATTTGATTTACAACGTTGATAAATTTTGCAAATAATTATTAAACAAACAATGGTAGTATGAAAATGTGTGGTAAAAATTCTCCAATTTTTTTTATTGATTTAATAATTGCATTGAATGTAAAAACAAAAATGATGACGGAATGTATTCATTCTTCAAATGGAATGGCTGGTAAAACGACTCCAGTGCACTCACCGAAACCAATGCGAATGTTGTCTTTTTGACAATAACCACGAATGATGACTTCATCACCATCGGCCAAAAATTTGCGTGTTTCATTGTTTTTCAATTGGATTGTTTTCGTTCCTTTCCAACTTAATTCAAGCATTGAACCATATGAATCGGGAGTTTCACCGCTAATTGTTCCCGATGCAAAAACATCGCCTGGTTTAATATTGCATCCGGTGACCGTATGGTGAGCCAGCTGTTGCAGAGCCGTCCAATACAGATGCCTGTAGTTTGATTTACAAATCAGTGATTCGACACCATTTTTAGCTGAAACAAATTAATTTTTTTTTTAATATTATGGAGAGTGTTCCAAAAACTTAAACCTTAATTGCCTTACGTTTTAAACTAACTTCAAGCTCAATATCAAAATTGAATGGTTTTTTATGGCGCAGATATGGAAATGGTGTTGGATCTTGTGGATAATTTTCAACAGCAAATGGTTCTAATGCAGCAACTGGTACAACCCATGGTGATAATGTGGTACCAAAATTCTTTGCCGTAAATGGTCCCAATGGAATGTATTCCCATTTTTGTATATCTCTAGCACTCCAATCGTTCATCAAAGTAAAACCAAAGATATGATCAGCCGCTTGTTCAGCATTAATACGTTCGCCTAGTTTTGTTGGTGCACCGCCGACAAAAACAGCCATTTCCAATTCAAAATCCAACAAACGACAAGGTCCAAAAGCTGGTTCGGCACCATCAACTGGCAACGTTTGACCGTATGGTCGATGAATTGGTGTACCTGATACAATGACAGAACTAGCACGTCCATGATATCCAACGGGCAAATGCTTCCAATTTGGCATCAATGCATTTGCTTTGTCGCGAAACATGATGCCAACATTTGTTGCATGATGAATCGATGAATAGAAATCAGTATAATCACCAATATTGGCTGGCACATGGAAGGTTGCCGTTTTTTGATCGACAAATGCTCTATACGGTAATGAATAAAATTGATTGAATTGCCATCAAGGTTAATGATGATATAAATAAATTCATACTTTTCTTTCAATGAAGCATTGCGATCCAATTCGGAATTTTCCAGCAATAAATTTTGAATGGTAGTACGTATTGTCTTCCATGCAACTGGAGTCAGGGACATCAACGAATTAAGCATCTCATCATTTAATGCATCCTAATTAAAACCAAAATGGAAAAATTTGACACTTTATTCGAAATTCCATTATATGGGTTATTTAAACTTACAACAAATTCGGGTGGAAAGAAGTCTGTGACAGTTGATAAATCCAAAATCTTTTCACCAATGCCAACACCAATGCGCTTGGTCACCTAAATTGGTCCAGCAATGAAAAAAAAAACGGTTATATAAATGCAAAAAAATGTTTGATTTTTTGTGCACACACACATTTTGCGAAGTTGAAAAAACACAATATGGTAAATTATGGATGGAAAAATCACTGTTCGGTTTAATTGATACGAATGATTTCATTGTTGCCCTTCTACGCATAAAATTTAAAATGAATACGAAACAAAAGATCCTCTTTCTCGAACAATCACCGTGCGACTAAATTGTGTTTTTATTTCATGAATTTACCTATCAGCCACACACTCGACCGGCTTTTGACATTTTTTTCTTCTTCTCTCTGTCTCTCCTTCTTCTTTTTCTTTCTTATCGTTTTGTTTACGACATACATATAGATCGAAGTAAAACAGAGCGCACTGTGGTTTTGCTGTATTTGTGTAGGTTTTTATAGTGATTCAGTATCTTTATATGTTAATCGGATTCTTATTCAAATTTTAATTACTTACATTTCCTTGAAGACACACAGTATGCAGTCTCCCCGTGTTCTGGCAATATGAATTCATACTTTTATAAATATGATACATACACTTGTTTTCTGATTCTTGATTGTTATCTAGTTGGTATTGAGAATCAAACTTGAAAATAGAAGAGAAATAACCAGCTGGTTTTGTGCTGCTCTAACGTAAAATGTTTATTGACTATTTCAGTTGTTGTTTTAATAGATTTAGAATGTTAATTTTAATATGACTATTTTAGATGATGAGAGTTGAGTTCGGAATTGTTACTATCGCTGGAAAAATGAATCGATTTTCTAAGTTGATATTTTGTTTTTTATGTTGATTGAAATTTAAAAAAAAAAAATGAATACCAATTTTTATATAATATAATTTTTTTTTCAATTAATTGAGCTGGTTTCGACTCGTCATCGATGGAATGGTGAGAGTTTGTGATACTTTTGCTCATTAGAATCATCAATTTCTTATTTGGACACGATAAACTTTTTCTTTTAATTCATAATATTAGGTGTAATCAAAAAGCGGGTCCGTTTGAAATGTGAACAACTATTTTGCTTAAAAATTGATCAAATCGTACAATTTTACAACAAATAGTTGACAATATATGCATATTAAGAGTACATCTAACATCGCATACTAATGTTTTTTTTTGTTCTCAAATTATTTTTATAACCTGTATTTTTTGATGTTTTTCGCTAAATACTCCTTCTTAAATTATTTTCTATTCAATATTATTATTATTTTAGTTATTGTCATTCACAGCATATGTCAATTGGATTTTATATATCAACAATGCACAATTGAATTAAGGATAATTTGGATTTTCAAATTTCCATATCATTATTTATTATCTTAAAAAAAAACGTTGAGAGTTGTTCTTTTATGTTTGTTTCAATGGTTGATATTTGTTTTTGTTTAATAGCCACACACATCAATCGGATTTGTTCTGTCGATTCGATGTGTGAAAACCTCCAAACCGAAAAAAACTTCTACTCCTTTTGTGTTTTATTAACTTACATTCTAAGCAGGATTTGGTTTCGATATCAACTAAATACGTGCACCGTGCATATTTCGTGCGAATCGAATTTCACCAATTCCCAAACTTATGGCCTATAGAATAAATTACAGACTAGAATTGATGCATGGAAGCCCTTTGTGATCGTAGTTTATTCATTTTTTTTTTTATTTTCAAAAAAATATTTCTCGTTTTCAAACAAATCGGAAAAATTTGTTTAAAATCAAGAAACAAAAAAAAAAAAATAATCGAAAGGAAATATAAACATTTTTTTTCCTTAAGTGACTAAGTTGGATTTTTTGGTTTACTTATACCTATATAAGTTGAATATTGACAATGACTTCGTTCAATTGCACTGTGTGTATGTGAAGACACACACACACACTGAGTTCAATTCAACCAAGTCACTGGTCATTACTCAACCATCTTTATTTCGATATGGAAGTGATGTTTTATTCAATTTTATTTTCCACTGATTTCAAGACTTTAACGAACCGAATACATTTAAAGAGTAAATAAGAAAAAAAAACCAGTTGTAAATTGAAAACGGCAAATTTAAAATGTTAAATCGGTTGCAACATAAGTCAGTTGGATATTTTTTTTGTATATATCAAGAGTAAAATATGAAAGTTATCATCAAATGTGGAATATTGTTAGAGTCGGAAATGAAAATTTGACTAATTACATTTCATAGACAATGGAGGTAAATCACAATTGCACAATGCCCCGCCTTCGCCTTTTTTACATAGTTCTATGCACACCACATTCCAATCAGGTGTGTCTGGTGTGGTGTCGATAGTCGTGATTGATGCTGAGTCTTCAGTTGTTGTCACCGACTCATCTGTTGCCGATTCATTGATGTCATTGAAATTAAAAACGGCACTCGATGGTTTCTGCATTGGAATTTTTTTTTTATTTTATTTTTTAATATTGAGATTTTCAATAACAATCGAAATGTGATAATATTTACCTTATGGTATGAATGTGGCAAAGAAATACATTTCGAACATCCGTCAACGCTTAAATTCAGTTCACGGCAAATTGCATTGCAAATATCTTTGGTATTTTTCGGCGGTTTTAGTTGATTTTTACCACAATTACAATTTTTTCCACCTAAATACAAATAACGAATCATATTGATTTCCAAACAGTCTAGTTGTTTTTCTATATATTTTCTTACCTAGGCCAAAATCGCATAAAACCGAACATAAGTTTGCCGATTTGTATTTCTTTTCTTGCGTTTGATTTCCATTTTCCGCATTACATAATTTGCCACAGGTGGGGCCACCGTAACCGGCGCTATTTTTTAATTAAAATAAAAAATCACATCATTAATTTTCGATTTTTGATATTATTCGAACACAAGTTTCTTTTTTTTTTTTGGTTTATTGTAAGCAACGTAAATTAAATGATTTTTTTTTATCACAGAAATATTGCATTTTCAGAAAAAGTTTCACTTTTTGTATAAATACATATAAGGTAACGAACGAACGAAAGGAAAAAAATGATACTCAAAATCAAAGCGATTAATGCAGTAAATAGCTGAACAAGAATGTTTTCTACTCACCCGCACAGATCTTCGCAGACCAACAACCAATTCACGACTACACTGTGTTGTGCCGTTTCACTTTGGTTCGATGGATTTTGTGACCGTGATGCTGGTGTCTTTGATTGAGCGTTGCTCCAACCCTCAATACCAGCGGGCGAATTTGTGTCATGCGCTTTGCACGCTAACATACCAGCCAATAGAATCACAAGGGCTGCAACTTTCTGCAGAAAATATAATTTAAATTGTCTATGTGATTCGAGATACATAAATAAACCCCAAAAAAATAAAACGAAGAAAAAAATCGCTAATATCATTACCGCTCGATTTCAATGACAAAAATGAAATTAAAAAAGAGAGTAAACGAGGTTTGATTTAACCATTAAGTTCATTTAAATGATATTTTATGCAGTCATGTGTGTGTGCTATTTTCACCAAACTGTATTAAACAGTTGATTGATCTTAAAATGCACAGCAAATTGGCATTTTTAACAATTTACGTTTGAAATTTGTATTGATTGCAAAATAAGTGATATTTGAACGTCAATGGAAATTAACAAAGAACCATGCGGTCGTATTTTGAGCCATCACGAATCATGATAAGAAAACAAAATGAAAAACCAGAGCAAAATTCAGAGCTTTTTCGATTACTGGCATTTTAATTAATTTTTAGACGCGATTGCAATATTTTCACATAGTTTTGATCAATTGAAATGAGTTTAAACTTCGATGAATTGAATGAACAAATGTCTTTTCATCACCAGATTTGAAAAATGATACTATTTAGGCACATAATAATAAATGTAGTGCATAAATCTTTTGTAAACTATCAATTATATTGGAAATAATTCGAACTTTCAAATACCTTCATTTTGGTGAATTCGATTCTTAACGTGAAAATGTGCTCAACCAGAAATTGCTCTAACCGACGAATTGGCCAAAAGGTATAGTTGTAACAAAATGTTAGCTAGTTCTTTGGATAATTGGGAGATGTTCACTTGCAAATCCATCAAACGACTGTCTCGATTTATTCCGATCAACAGGGAATTTAATGCGAACAAAAGAAATTGTTGATGCCAATTAGCAATTCAATATCAGCAAAAAAAATGTATACGAAAAAGAATGATTGCATTGAACGAAAAAGCATGATAAAAATCCTTTTTAGTTGATATATTTATGACCCAATTGATAACATTGTAAGTTGTGCAATAAAAAAAGTGTATGGTACAATACACCACGAAAAATCTGCACATAAAAAGAATGTAGACTGTAGAGGATTTTAATCGAAAATATCATCAAAGTGATTGTATATTGCTTCAAGTTTGAAATGAAAGTTTTGACGAAAATTTTGGTCGGTTTTCATTGTTGGCCTCGTGTGTTTCATAAAATCCATGTGGTTTTACTAAATATGAGTATTAGTTGAAAAAAAATTCGGTATAAATGACTAAAAAGTTGTAAAACTAATTTTCGGATTTTGTTCATAATCTCGTCAGCGAATGGCTTATCTTTGCAAATATGATTTATTTACAATTCCGTTTTTTTGTCATGTCTGCAAGTTGGTGAAAATAATTTCGTGGTCTGTAGATAAAACATGGAAAACTGTACAATAAAACCATACTTTTTTACTTATTATTTCGGGCAAAATGTTTGATTTATGTGAAGTAGCAGGCAAAAGCATTCCACTATGTTTGTGTATATAGTACGTGTGTATGCTTTTTTTATTAATAACATTGTATTCCATTAAGAAGGCAAACATACACAGAGAGATAGAGGGACAAAAATGTCGAATCTCGCAAACATTTACTTGTATGTAATCATTAGTGTTGTTGTCGAGATGTTAATGGTGAAGGTCATTGAGCTCCACCTCACATGAAAATTGGGTTGGCTCCACCTATTTATCGACTTTTCGTTCGCAAAAGTGGAAACGGATTGTCACATGAAATTGTGATATGGCTTTGGCCATGCCTGATTGTGAGCGAAATATACAACGTACCATGAACTTTTGAACGATGGCCACCAAGGCTCTTCTTATATATAAATTAAGCGTAATTTATAAGTTTTATACTATGCGTTGTTTACGTCATATTGGGTCTTTTGCACATCGTTGAATACTAAAACACAAACTCTCAAGAGGTTTAAATTGAAAATCTTAATGGAACACCACCGCACATACAAAAATCTTTCATAGTGAAAGTGACATCGACGAAAACAATGTCATTACATGATGGGCAGTTTAACCCGAAAAATTGAAATCAGTTTTTTCCAGACCCAGATTTTTATGGATAAATTGGGTATTTATAACACTAACCATAAGTTTTGTCAAATAAATGTTATGCCAAAATTTCGGATGCCTTTTAAACAACTGAACATTCGCAAGTCGAAATCCTGAATTTCCCCCAGAAAAAATAGCAAGCTATTCAATAGCAGCCAATTAAAATGATTTCAAGTTTGTCCGTGTCATATTTGTCCGTGAGATAAGAATCAGTAATTTCCAAATATGTTTCATCCTACCTACCTGGTTTGTTTTCATCTACAACATAAATTAAGATTCAAGATTAATTCAGTCGAGCTTTTCTTTCTTTCGTTTTTTCGCTCAATCTATCTTTTATTTTACAAAATTAAAAACCTTGTCAAATATTTAAAGAAAATGTACCACAAAAATACTGATTGAAATGTGGTAGTCAGTAAAAGCACAATCAAGAAAAAAGATAGCATTCCAATTGAAATTTCTTTAGATTCTCCGAACACCCGTTTAGCTTTTTCAACACCTTTTCAATTGAGTTTATATACGACTTCGTTTATTAATAACTATCTACCAACACCCTGCATTATTGGGATTTGATGTAACTAACGTCACTTCGGATTTGGGGAAAAAAAGCATTTCAATTTCCAAATCGATCAGGCGATTTCCAAAACATTAATAAATAACAGCACAGATGAGAGGCTGAGAGTAAAAACAGCACGTCGCATCTCATCTCTTGCTCTCACTTACGGGAATTCCCGTAAGCAAACAATTGTTTGAGTAGAATTTACATCAAATTTGAATGTATTTATGTGAAGTTCTCAAGAAATTGAATTAGTGTGTTACGCTGTATTGTTGTTGCTATTAACACATTTTGTGCAAGCATTTCATGTTTTGACATAATTCAATCCATTTCAACTTCAACGATATAAAACTGTTAAACCAATTTCGGAATATTTCTGAAAAATTAATATATTTTTTTTAAATCACTAGAATGCAATGTGTTGAAAGTGACGTTAACGATTTTTTTTTATATTATCTACAGTACCAACACAGGCTTTCACCAAATAATAACATAAAAATTACCTACTTACAGTCATTTTCAATAATTGTTGACTTTAAAATACCCGCATAACACTGATGACGCTCTAATTCCAAATGAATTGTATTTGTTTGGTATTATTGTGGGCTTCGCCCAAATAACTGAACTGTTTTGTCTGAAAAAGAGTTTTCACAAGTCAGCCAAGATATGGATGTTTCCTTTAATGGCCAATTGCTGTAATAAAAATCATCTTACCATGATCAAATACGATTCTGTTCAAAAATGATGATCAAAACACATTGAATGAAAATAGTCGCATAAAATTTTAATTGATACGATCTTTATTCATGTACTTTGGATCATTGTATAGCAATTATCTGTGGGAAGTGTTTCCTCTCAGCTTTCATTTTATTTATTTAGATTTAGTCTTCATTAAATTAACAACACATAACATCTAATATAATTTGATTATATATCTTTAAATGTATATAATTGTGGTTCAATCAATATCTTCTTTTTTTTGGGGTAGAAATCGCCTGGACTCGAATCCAAGGGACATTCTAAAATTGTTATTGGATACTTTTTTTTGCATTATTTCTTTGCTGAACGAATTTTTTTGCATTTTCTATGATTTTTTTTTGTTTAATTTAAATTTTAAATGTGTTTAAAGCAGTTCCTTAACTTGTTTCATTTCAGTATGTTTTAAATATAATTTGACTTAAGTTTTGTTTCGATAATAAATTGAAGTCTAATGTGTGTGTATTCACAGTAAATGTGAATTAAAAAGTTAACTAATCAAACAAATAAATAGTAAACTAAATTGCGTTTTGCCCTTTTAACAACAACTTAATAACGCTTCTATACGCAATATTACATATCCGTTTTGTTTGTTTTTACATGCAATGCATATTTCACAGTCTAATAAAAATTCACACTAATTTATTCATGCGCTTATGTCTGTACTACTTTTATATTGCCGAATCTGCGTGATTGCGATGTAATCGCATAGGTGCTTATCTCTTTCTTCTATCTTTTTATCTATTACAATTACTGTTTTTTTATATTTGCACTATGTTCATGTGGAAAGCGGTCCTATGTCGATTGAGGGATCTTGGGTTATTTTCTTCATTATTTCATAAATTTGTCTTATCCATTACGTTACGCTTTTTTTCATTTAGCATAAGTATATGTGTTTCTAATGTAGCAAAGTTAGTTAGTTGTTTCCTCTTCTTTGTTCAGTTTTTTTTGAGCATGTGAGCATGTTAAGTGAAAGAATAGATATATGTATAACATTTATTATAAGTATTTTCCAGTTCGGCATTTGTAATTTTTCACTTCCAGTTGGCAGTTTTTGTGATTTTGCTTGCGAGTTTGAATGTTTTCCATAATATTTTGCTAAAATAATACATTCAATTTTCATTTCCTCTGATATCCCATTTACAATATATTGATTCACGAACGTATTTTTCTCTTCATAAAATATCTGAACGAAAAACTCTCCAACAATTAAAATAGCATTTTTTGTGTTATCAATAAATTTGTGTTTTCTTTTAACAACAATAAATATATGTATGTATATATACTTGCTTTGTTCTTATCAATTAAATCTTTTAAGTTCATTAAGGATTCATTTTTTTTGGTTTTTGTAAATGCACATTGATCAAAAGAGCAAACAAAATAAAAACAAAAATTGATAATAATATTTGCTTCTTCCCGTTAGGATTATGATATGTTCCTCTAATCGGATATTTATCTTGGTTGTTGCTGTTTTTTTTTTCACTTTCATACATGTATTTCTCTTTAGAATAATTGAAGTTTACTTTTTCTTTACCTGTTGCGGCATTTAGTTGCCGTTCACTTTAATTGCGCGCATTCTGGGCGTACGCTATTTGAAATTACATAATTGAAATGAGTAGTGAACAATGATATAGTGTGTTTTTTTTTTAAATTTGTACGTTTTTTGGTTTTTTTTGTTCCTTTATATTTGACGATAGTGAGATATTGAGACTTTTATGTTCATATTAACAATTTGCGATTGTTTTATTGAATTTACAAATCTTGACCGAGACGATCCATTTCATTGAGCATGAATTCAACATCTTTTTCGGTAACAGCAGCCGATGAAATGATAGATCTAAAGAAATTTGGCCGTCGATCGTCTGGCTGATAGCCAACCATCAATGTACCAGATTCCATCATTCGAGCTTTGATTATTGGACAAATCTGTGTTGGGACAAATGAATGAATGTTATTTAGTGCGTGAACACACATTTGCGCACATTTTTTTTTTTTTTTAATAAAAATGTGAAAACTTAAAATACATTTCAACTGCAATCACATGATTGTAAAAGAAAAGAATAAAAAAGTATAAAAAGAAGAGAAAAAAATTACGTACCTTGCCCAATTCTTCTTCCTTTTCGGGAGTGTGTGGAACGCCACGTAGTCGTTTTGGTATATACCAGAAGCTGACATTGACTAGTTCTGGTTCCATAATCAAATGGAATTTATCTGGTTGAGATTTGATGAGTTTTACTTGATATAAGGCCAACTCCATGAGCTTATCAATGGTTTTTTCGAAACCTTCAGTGCCTTTGCCTCTCCATTGTAACCACAATTTAAAGATATCATTGTGGCGACCGCATTGAATCACTTTATCACCAGTATCATAGCTGATATCGTACAATTTATCGGTCATGAAAAGATATTCAGCTGACATTTGATTGCAGCTTATCAAAAGACCCTAACCAATTTTATTAAGAAAAACAAAAAAAAAGAGAAAAAACGAGACTTAATAATTGTATTTTTTTAATTGATTTCATGTTTTCGTATGCAATAAATGTGTGTAAATCGAAATCTTGTATTCGTGCGCGTTTAATATCGCTTTGAATGTTGTTGGAAGAAATGTGCGCTTTTGTGTTTGATAAATTGACGAGTTCAAGTTCATACAGTTGAAGATGAACTGACTAAGCATTTTGTTTTTTTAATCAATCAAACCATTTATTTTCTTCAATTCACTGTGCCTTGGCAGAAATTTTACAACCGAAATGGATAAAACTGTATTGGTTCTGCATACAAATTATAAAATTTAGTATTGTTCACCGATTTTCATTCTTTTGGGTCGTTTTTTTTTCTTCTTGTGTGCAATTTGTTTGTTCACCCCTAGATTCTGACATTTTCAACAAGTTTATTCTGGAGGCTTTTTGCATGCCAGTCGTAAATACCAAATGTGTAATATCTTTAAATGAAAAGTTGCACTACATCTTCTCCCCTTCGAATTTTCACTCACTCAGTCGAACTCGGACCATTTTATAAAAACATCCACCCAACAAAAACATATTCTTGCCGACACATACACATGTACCGTTCAACGAAAAACCGTTGTCAGTACAATATGTTTCAAATCGGTCACAGTTGTTCTGTTGGAATTTTTTAATTAAAATATTTTCCTGGAATGCTACACACAGCGTATCGGCGGAAATAACCTTCAATATAAATTGTTGCAGTAATATTAAACATACAGTTTTATGTTTAACGATAAAATTGTAGAGTAAACGTGCATACCGTGATGGGTATTTGAACAATGCACATTTTCCCTCTTACTCTCTGACTATTGGTTAATGTTCGTTCAAGTGTAACAGCATTTGTTGCAAAACGTTTTAGAGAGGTAGTTTGGCTCGTGTCTTGACATAGATTCTTTGTGATATGGTGCAAATATCTTTCAGTCTAGTCGTCAATAATGGCGAATCGCACATTTTTACCCAAAAACATTGAATTTTCATTTAAAAAATGTTTCAAAGTACTTTAACGGTCAGAATGAATACCGTCGATATTCGGAACAAAAACTTTTGATCTTTTCGATTTTATTTGCATGGCGAAGAGGATTGAATTTTAAGTATAAATCGAACATCTTCATCATTTTATTGAAAATGACGGTTTTTCAGTGTGCAGGCTAATCGTTAATCGATAAAATACTTCCATGGCCGTAACATTTAAATTCGATTAAAAGCATTTTGTTGGATAACAAATTGAATGAGAGTGCAAATGCTTGTACGTCTGTGGGAAAATGCAACGAACGAAACACATTGCTAAATGTGTCATTTGTTTCGAGTAAATGCTATGTGTTTTCTCTGTGTTATATGCTTAAGTACTATAAGGAGATTAAAACGTTAATGGTAAGATGTATACTTATACTTACGTCTTCCTTAAAATGTATAGTTGAATTTTGCAACAATGTGCCCATCAATTTGTGTGGATTCCAGGTAACCGATTGTGCACTGCAACATGAATAATAAAATTATAAAAGGGAAATCAATTAGTAAACTATACATAAAACAAATGAAAAAAAAAATTAGCACACAGGCTTTGTTACAATAATCATGATAATAAATTAGCCAAATTTTAATTAAACGCATCATCAATTGCATCATCTCAAAATAATTCGATTGTGATGTTACCACAGTCAAGCATTTAATCAATTTAGATGTGTTTGCAACATCACTAAATAATTTTGGTTAAATTGTAAATATTCCCTTCGGAACAATTTAATATTGTTAACTATTACCACCGCGCGCAGCGTTTTCATTCGTTCTCATAAAATGAACGAGCTGCCAAACGGAATATTCTTTACCCCTTATCATATTTACTCAGCGACACTTTTGGATTTAAAATAAGCAAATATTTACGTGTCTAACGTTGTCATCAACCCCGGAGAAAAATACAGTAGGGTGCATCGAACAGTGGCATTTCCCAAAGTCAATGCACACAACATTCGTTTGAATGAGCCAGTACAACAACATGTTGTTCAACAAGAGTCTATTCGGTTGAAGTCGTCGTCCTTATTGTCGCAAGTGTTCTCTTCTTTTTGTACTTAAAACTCAACCAAAATAGCAGCAAGCTTATGCACAAAACAATGAAAAAATATGAGGGGATGTTCCTCTCCCTTTTCCTTTCAGCTCTCGCTCTCTCTCTCTCTCTCAATCTATCTCTTTGTGTTTATTTTATTTTAATTTTTTATTAGATGCAATCACTGCCTATTCTGTTGCAGTCATCTCGATGCTCACATCGACAATCTGCTTAAATACAGATGTACGCACGGAAAAATGGAACAAAAAAAATATCAGAAACAGACCTGATCAACGTAATGTTCGATATTCAATAAACACAGACTAAAGAGAAAAGACAACAAAAAGACCATTGCATTCAAAAACCGATTGCAAAGGAAAAATCATTGTGTGCAGTATTGTAAGAGGGTTACATTTATTATTCAACAGACATGAAAATTTGTGTGCCGCAATTTATCTAGCAACGGAGAGATGATTTGCAGTGCAAGTACACGAGGAGATTGAACTTCGAACGATTAAAAAAAGAAAATTATTACAATTTCATGAATGAAAATATTTTTAAAATAAAAAAAATCAACGACTTAACTCTTCGTCATCATCGTTCTTCACCTGTTATCATGGTCATGTCAACAAACGACAAACAGGATCTATTCTTCTATTATTTCAACGTTTAATTGGAGTGTTCTTTTTTTATACATTCGCTTCAGCTTCAAATGGTACCATTGTCATGGAACAAAGAGCATTTAAATCAAACATCTCTCTTTCTATTGTAAGTGTTGCTGTGTGTTGAAGGAAACGTTTTTGTATCTTATAAGAAAGATTGAATGTTATAATGAAAACCGAAGAATAGATGCGAAAATTGCAACACAATAATCATAATCAACGCGAACAATTTTCGAACAAGAGACTGTGTACAATTGAGTGCGCAGGCCATATGTGTCGTTCCAATGCCATTGCTCAGATGTTTGGAGCAAGGATGATTATTTCAATGTATGGCGTCAGCAATAGTAGAGAAGGTCGACAGTGCACGGATTTGATGCACACAAACTATTATGTACAAAGTTCCTCGTTTTTTTTTTCGAAAGGCAGTGATTTCAGTAAATTGAGAGAAACTATTTTTTTTATTTCAATTGAAAAAATATAAAAATTTGTAAATAAAAAATGTCTGGATATTGGTTAATTTTTAAAAATTGTGTAATGACGTCACTGAGTTGTGTTACGAAATCTTTCGGTATTGAATGAATTGCTCAGAATATGGTTCAGTTGTTGTTTTCTCTCTTTTTTATATTTCGTTCTGTGTTGTTGTCGTTTTTTTGTGTCTGTATGTGATCATCCATTGATGTGACATACAGTAGTTGGAGTACAGGTGTTGAATAGACTTAGAAGATTACAGAGTCATTCCTTCGACATTCTGTTCCAAATTATACGATGCGGGACACAAATTTATATAGGGGTTACAAGCAAACAATTTACATTTTCATTGACATTGAAGCACACACACACACACATAATACGCACTTCGGTCCTATTCGGTGCTTACGCATTACTATTGTTAAGTATGATGGCAAATGTTTGGAGCTTCAACGAGTGGATTGAAATGAGACTTTATTGAATATAATCCGTTATGTAAACATAAAATGAGATTTAAAAGCAGAAATAAATGCTCACTTCACCGCACCGCACAAAATGTTGGCTCGTCTTGCTGAATATATGTGTGTGCGCACCACCCACTTTTCTCACATGCATGAATATGCTTAGAGCAGCATAAGTTGATGTGATTTAACGTATTTGATGGCATGCAAGTGTATACAGCACTTCAATTTATGTGTATCGATTTTGTGGCCAATGGTTCTCACTTATTGGTGGCTAATAAGTGCACTTAAGTTCTTTTGTGCACCAAGGTAATCGTGTATCAACATTTCATTGCCATTTTAACCAACGATTCGACAATATAAATCACATGCTTTCTAATACTTTAATGGATTACCAACACTGCCGCGGCCATCATGTATCGTACCGCATGTACTACTGTATCTGTAAGAAGTTTACTTGAGTTTAAAATGGATTTGATTTGTATGCAAATCCATCGTAAAGAATTTGTATCAAACCCACAGAATTTAAGTGCATCAGTCGGCTAACGTTAAATTGAAACCCCAAATACGCGGTTTTATTATTTTTATCAATCAACTGATGAATTGAGAATTACTATTAATGGATGGATTTTGGAATGAAGCATTGTATTTAAATGAGAACACGAACAAAAAAAAAAACGGTTTAATAGATTGGTTTTTTTTTGTGTGTGAAGATTTCTTGATGGCGTTCAGTTAATTTGTTGCGGCCAAAATGAAAGGAAAACAAACCAACAGCTCCTTTTAAACATTTCAAATGTTGTACACACTGATATGGAACAGTTGCAAATGATGTTGGAAACGTGGATAAAATGAAATGATATAAAAAACGATTGTGATTTACGGTTTTGTGTCAAAAGCATCCGCCGCATGTCCCATTCAAAATCATCGTGAAATAATTATTTGCAGAAGGCGAGATTTTATTGCTGCATTCATTGTTAATTCGTCTCGCAATGACAGCACATGCACACATACACATTCATACCATCCAATGTCAATACACACACACAGCAGACATATGCTGCATCATGCTTAAAATACATACGAATGAAGAATGGTGGTGTTGTTTGATAAGGATTTCAGATTTCTGTTTTTCCTCAGTTAATTAGGGGTGTAATTCGATGGTGGAACTCTCTTCGTTCATAAGATTTTTGTATACGTATAATTATCATTGAAATTATCATTGGAAAATTGTTTCAATTTCACTTACCGTTCAATTCCACTCAATCGAGGATGTCGAAATTTTTGCGAAAACAACAATCCACCACCCCAAGCAGCCTAAAAATTGAAGCACACACAGTTATAGTATTAACGAATGGTTCTTCGGCCAGATTGCAAATAAAAACTACAACTATAGGAATAAAAAAAAAGTTAAGACAAACATCGAATACTTACATCAATATGCAGCCAGAGACCATACTTATCGCAAATGTCAGCAATTTCAGGGATTGGATCAAAGGCACCCAAAACCGTTGTGCCAGCTGTTGCACTCACATAGAATGGAATATGACCGAGACTTTTATGTTTGAGAATTTCGCGTTCCAATTCGCTGGCTATCATGCGTCCACTCTCATCCGATGGAATCATGATGCAGTTATCGGTGCCCAAGCCACTGACGGCTGCACACGATTTAACGGAATAATGACTTTGATCAGATGTAAACATAACCAATTCGCCAGGCAAACATTTTGCACCATGTTCTTTGTAATTTGGAAACATTTTATGGCGGGCAGCCAAAAATGCATACAAATTCGATATTGAACCGCCGGGTGCTAAAATTGAATCACCACCATTCCAACCGATGATTTCACGCATTTTCGTCAATACAACATTCTCCATTAAAATGAACACAGGAGCAATTTCATATGTGAACATATTGGTATTTGCGGTTGCTGTCAACCATTCGCCAGCCATCGAAATCACATCTAATCCACATGACAATTGATTGAAGAAATGTGGATGGCCTATTTGAATGAGAGATAAATTAAAAAAAAAACAACATTTATTAATTGATTATAATCAAGCAACCGATATAATTGTTCAGACAAATATTTGAATAGCAGAAAATATAGCACAGTAGACAATGAGTGAATGATTCTTGCTAGTAATGAATTAATTCATTTTATTCAATTATCCGTGGTTACCATTTATAGATTTTGTATGGAACTTATGTTTGTCTTTTGTCACTCATTTGATTGAGTAGTTAAACAACACTGGCGCGCTGCAGCCAAAATATTCAGTCTACTGTTTTATAAGAACCATCGGTAATGTAATGAGTCTAACAAAATAGAACAAATGCATTAGATTGAAAGCAAATGTCCTGGAATAATCCATGAGATTTGCCAATAAAATGGAAGCACAAAATACCCTACAATCTCTTCCAGTGCACATATACACATATTTGTTGTGGGCTCTTGTGTAATTTGTTTGGGATCGAGAATACTCTTGTCATTTACTGCACGACTGTGCGCCGAGCAAAGCGACTGAGCGACCGTAATCATTTCATTTTGAGTAGGTAGAGAACATAATCCTGTGTCAGAATTGATGTCTTTATACGTATATCAAGTGGAATGCAAGCCGACAAATAATGTTGCACAATCATTACATTTTTCATCCATTTGCTTACTTATTTAACACAATATTCGCTGCTTTTTTTTCTCTCGATTTTCTTTTAAGCACTTATATTTCACTCAGTGTTCGAATTTTTTTCTTCTTCACATTCATTTAATCTGTGATTAAGCACAGCGATACGATGTTTTTCATCAGCATCGACTGGTTTTATCAGCGCTAATTAATTGGACAACAAAAATTCGAGGATTCGAAAAGCCGAACGAAAAATAGTCCAATAATTGAGTGTCCATCGTAAACTATTCAAAAGAATTTAAAAGTTTGAAAAGTGTTCTTAAATATTTTTTTATCATTTTAATCATTTAATAATTTTGAAAGTGCAGTCACCGTGAATGATGTTCTTTGATGCAAATATAACGGAAATTCCTCCTCAATGTAATAATGGCCCGAAAAATTGCTTTTTACCGGAAAAGCCAAGCACTGTGTAAGGAAAAGTCATTCAGCACACCACCACCATCATCGTCGACGACGTGCGTTGTGTATGTTGTTTTTTTTTTTTTTGAATGACAAAGCGAACCCACTCCGCATTGCATGGCACTCTCAGTAGAAATGATGGAAAGGTTTTAATCAAAATCCGTTGTTATTTTCTAACTGGATGCACTGATCCCTACTTTAGTGTACAGCCACTGTTCTTTCATTCTCAATTTTGAAACGAATCGAATGCGCCAACTGTTTGGCATTAATTTGACAGTTTGCCTGCTTTTAATGAAATGTTTTAGAGCAAAAATACTTTTTTCGGGGGCAAATTGGAAGACGACAGAGGAGAATGAAATAGAAGAAAAAAAAATTTTATGACTAGGGATTTTGTATGTTTGCATTACTGTTTATAGTGATGTGTGTTTTATATGTGGATAATTTGTTTGTCGGGAGTTTACATTGCATACATACAAGTGGCACATATCGACCTCATTATTCTAGCCTGTTTTTTTTTTTTTCAAGAAGAAGAAAGAAAAATATCAAATCGAACAGCAGATGGGGTTCTCGTACCAAATAAATGAAATGCATTTATGTTCGGAATTCGAAAAATTTTCAAATTAGTTCGACAAAAAAAAAATTCAATGTGAAAAGCGTGGAAAAATGCAACAAGGACACAGGCTTCGCAATAAAAAACCATTTGAAAACCATTACAACAATATTGCATGTCGATATCGCTAAAAACATTCACATGTAACAAATATCTTTTCACCTGTTTTTTTTTTCTCAACAATTTACCCATAGAATCAAGCAAACAAAAATGATGTGATTTGAATGCGATTCGATTTCTACAACCAGCATTGAAACATGAGTTGTTAGAAAATTCAATTGTTCCTCCCTTTTCCAAACATACACACATCGCAATCGGATGTCATTTTTGTGGACCATTTCCATTGCATTTTCCCAACTCAATTCATGAAATGTAATTATTTGCAACATTGAACCGCACACAAAATGCTATTGTTTGGCTTTTGATATCTGTAACAAAGCATATATACAAATAATATTTGGCCAAAATCAAACAGTAGAAATGTTCTGTAGAAAGAAATGGAAGAGTTTTGTACAGCAAGCAGTGAGATAGAATGAGAATGAAAAAGAGTGGCCAATTTGGAAAACCACATCAAATTACACATTGAGATGAAGACACACGCATTAAGTATCATCATCGACACCCATTCATCCGGAAAAATGGTTTGTAAAAAGGAAAATAGATTTGAAAAAAAAAGAACCATGCGGAAGTAAACTGTGTGTATTGTTGTTTGCATTTTGTGTGCAGTTTTGCGTAAATCATCTTAGGCATCTGCTCTTCCGCAAGAAAATTGAATTTTACTATTCGATTTGGATGGCAAGATAAGAAACGAAAGCAATTTCCGAATGTATATAAACATAATGCCAGACAATTCTACTACTATCTCATTGACATCCACACATCCAAGTTCATAATTTCATTCAAATATATACCAACCAGCAAATGTGTTTAAAGTGATAATTTGGTATGTTTGTTTTTAAAACAAATATTTGCAGATGGAAAGTGGAAGATTTGCTGTGAATCTAAATGGGATTTTGAATGTTACGGATTGCATGGCCGTGCATTTTTTCGGCAGTGATTGTTTTGCGTAAACTGGTGTAAGTAATATCGACCAGAGGAGCCGAACAAATAACAACAAAAACACACAGCACAGCAGACAATTGCATTAAAATTCAATAAAGAGTTTTTATTTCATATTGCGGTCACGTGACTAAGATTAGATTAAATGCCACTACCCAACAATTTTCAACGTTTGTGATTAGGGTATTTATTTGTATTCGTCGTCGGCTCTTCTCTCCACTCTGGTTCAAGTTAAGAATAGACACGTGCCCTCCCGCAATATGCTACAATATGAATGGCACTTTCAGCAGTCACCCTCTCGATGATTTTTTGTTTGTGTGTGTGTGTTTTTTTCTTCTCTGTTCGCAGTCATGAATCTGACTTTTGACAATGAAATATACATACACATAGGCGCGTGCATACATTGGTGTGCATGATCTCTCCCGTTCTTATTCAATTTTCAGTAACATTTGATTGATTACATTCTATTGCGGTGTTGGCGCTTTTAATAAATGCTAAATAGCGGTTATTAAGAGTGTAATTTAAATTTGTAGTGCAACTTTTGTGAATCGTATTCACTTTCATGAATGGATAAAATGATATTGAGTGATGAAAGAAGTGTCAATTTTTGGATTGCAAAACAGCGACAAAAAACAAATGACCCAATGCCACTGAAATGTAATTAATTCACACGTCATTGTTTAAAGTGGGAGAAAAACCATCATTTCGATGATACTGTTTGTTACAAACATGATTCGTGGTTGATTTTAAATGCAAATTCGATTTTAACGTATCAGCCATATGATTCTATGCCAATGTCATTGGGCCACATACACATGCACGCACGCACTGTATGCATCGTTCGATCAATTGAAACCAGATTGAAATACATTAATTCAATTTGTGTTACACAAAAACCCGTCGTTGCACTGTTACAATCGGGATGCGCAACATCAACACTGATGAAAGTTTTGTATTCAATGTAATCAAATTCAAGTTGATTGATATTCAACAAAGCATATTCATACCATTCATACAAATGCTGTATCTGGGAAGTTCGGTGGCCAAGACGGTATTTTGAGCATAAGTTTGATTTTTTATTTATATCCAAAGAAAAAAACCACTCACAAAAAGCCAATTTGGTGTGTCATTCAATTCGTATATGGTCGTGTATGAAATGGCTTGTACGGATATGTTCCTTTATTCAGCTAACTCCAACTAATTTTCTAATTTTTTTCCGATTTTTTTGTTTAATAAGGCTATTTTTCTACTCACCAGTCCGCACTTGATATTTCAGAGTTTTGGCACAGTCTTGAATCAATTGCTGCAATGGTAATGCCGTTTCAGGTAAATCCAAATCAAGCAACTTCTTCATTTCCTCAGGATGATGGAATTCCAAAATGCGTTCATTGCGATCATTTTGCGTTTTCACGTAATCCAACAAAATGTCAACGACTTTCGAAAGAAACTCTCTAGTTTCTATATCAGTTGTTGCTGCTGGAATGATATCTGCAGATTCAAAAAAAAAAGAAAAAGTAAAATACACATAAATTTGAGTTTGGCATTTTCAGTGGCAGTGAAAGGGAAATATTGATAGGCCATGTTTGTATGACCCATTCATTTATCATAGATAAGGTCGGGCTTAACCATACATTTATTACATGAATACAAAATAAGTTGAGAAAAAAAAACAACCACCTAATCGAAAGCACACACAAATAAGAATACGTAGTGAAATAAAAAAAAAATCATCTTTCCCAAAAAAAGACATTCAATGTGAATGTATAGGGTGTTAATGTTTTCCAAAAATCTAGTCAAAGCCTTTTCAACACCAAAATGAAAAGAGAACAGTTTTCAAATGCGTTCAAAAGTTCTTGGCAAAATTTCTTCGGTTTACCGAAAAAATCACAATAAAACAATGGATAGTTCAGTGTTAAATATATCGTGATGCAATGGATGACGTTTTTGAATATTTTTGCTCCACCCTAAATGTATGAAGAAGAATAACGAGTGAGCGAGAATTGTGGAACAAAATCAATTTCTCATTTATCCAGAGATTATGTGCGACTACAATGGATTTCGACAGTTGATCAATACATGCTGATTCGTGAATATGACTATGCGCAATATCTCTGGGGAATGTGGGCTCGATGTTTTACGTTTTTCTATCTTCGATAGTCGAGAAAAACACTGACTACAGCCTCAAACATAATTCGCAACGCTATTGATTTGCACATCAAATATGATTATATGATGATGGTATGTAGTGATAAACAAGTAAGTAATGTGTAGTATATCCGGGTGTAGTATAAAGTGGATGGCTTAAGAAAGTATATTTTTTTAATGTTCAAATCGATGATATCATTATCCGTCCTAAAAAAAGAAATCCATGCCATCGTAATCACCAATATTTTTCCTTTCTTTCTTGGAGATAAAAATAAATTTTGTGCTTATGAACATTATGATGGATTTTTTATCGCCACATTATGTTAGTTTTAAGAATTTTTTTTTTAAATCTTAGCCCAAACTTTTCATACATTTGCTCATAAGTGACCCCCTCGTAGTTGTTCTTTTTTGTCTATTTTGTGTTTTGAACGACTGAAAAATATCTCTGCGTCACAGTCTTGCATAAATCGTGATAATGGAATTCGAATTGCTCCACACAAATTATTAGAAAGAAAAATGACCACACCGTCGTAACATCTTCGGTAATCTAATGAAAAATGTGTGAATAAATATGTTGATGGAAGTTAAAAGAGCGTCTAAATCTCCAATTAGCCATAATTGTGAATTGAATGCCATAACACTGCATGATATCAAAATATGGTTATTTCTCGCCCCTCGACCGACTCTCACACATTTTATCTCGGTTAGGTATCAAGTGGTGCAGTAAAGTCTTCACTCATAGAATAATAAGCATCGAATTGAAGGCACTTTTACTTACTTCACACATTGATTGATAAGTGCGATAAAATATAGCTTTGCCTTTTTGCATTTCGGCATAAATAACAGGCACATATTCTTTTAAATGAAAACGGAACCTAATACCATGTACTTTTGTATTCACAACCTTCCCTCATCCGTAAATAGGTTGTTTTAATATTTATGTATCTGAATTGAAGAATTTTTAATGTGTGTGTTGGGGGCGCCAAAATCTTTCAATAAATGTAATCAATTTCAGTGGAATTTCTTGAGAGAACATGTCAAGTTCCACAAACCGATTGTTACCGATTATTTTTCGTCATCGATTATGAAGCGTGCATGTATGGTAAATACATTGTTTCTGACGTTATTTACTCAACCCTCACATATAAACAAAAAACCTCATATATGAAAACATAATGGAATTGCTGCTCAACCTATTTCATTTTACACACACTCTGGAATGTTTACATTAAAAATTCCAAATACTCTAATAGTAGTCAAGCTTAGTGTTCTTCCGATTTTAATTCAACCCCATTTGATTTATTATCGAAGTTTTTCATGGGAAGTTGGAAAATTCATTTTGAGCTACAAACATTTTAGAAACAATAGATGTTTGTTTCCCATTATAATTTACGATAACAGCCAAGCTCGTTAATGAGTAACGAATTTTCCGAAACGAAATTGAAAAAAAAAAACTCAACAATATAAATTGTATTTTCACTGAACAATTTGAAGGGGAAAATTTGAATGCAGCCAATTTTGTTTCATAAAGGTTTTTCAATATTTTTTTTTTCATTTTTGTTATCTTTAAAACCGTAAATTGATTAAAACGATTACATAAACTATTTTCTACGTCGAATATTTGTTTCGAAAGAGAGAGAGAGAGAGAGAGAGAGAGAGAGAGAGAGAGAGAGAGAAGGAGGGAAGAGGGAGAGAAATGGAAAATAGACACGGGTATTTATTGAATGTGAAGGAAATGGTGACATAAAGATGCACATTATAGCGCCCACTCATTGCGCTATCAACATGTTACACATTTTATCGCATTACATTTCCTGCACGCGTTTACCCACTCAATCTCGACTCTCGACAATGGCAGAAGAGCAACTCTGCTGCGGGCGCCACAAACGGTAGCAAATTACGAGGGTTGTGCACTTCATTTTTTTTTTCATCTCCTTCTTCTAAAAAACTGCTGTGAAACGATAGCGTAAGGACACATTCTGCCAATATTGTTTTGGCATTCTCAATGGTCCGTACTCCGTACTGAGGAGTGTTAGAGAAAAACGTACACAGTCTCAATCATCTCGAACAAAAAATGGGAGAAAAAATCTTTGCGATTTTAACTCGAATCGATCATGTTATGTTGAGTGAAACAGAATGAATTCTAGATTTTATTCATTATTATGAGATACACAGAGATAATATCTTTGACTGTCGTTTCTCTGGAAGTGTCATATATCGTCTCTTTTTTTTTGTCATTTATTTATCATTTTGTTTGCTATGTTCAATATCTTGCCAAATATAAAATACACATATTAATGGCACTTGTTGGTAAAATATGTTTAGTTGGTGTCACAAACATATTTCATTACCGATTACACACAGCTTAAGCTGAATTGTAGTGAATCGGATGTGTACCCGTTTTGTGAGATGTATTTAAGCACACACACTCATACACATTCAAATGTTTGAATGCATGTAAACAAATACGCGCATTCGTATCACATACACACCCCACGAATACAAAAAAAAAAATAGCAACTACTTGAATGTGCAGAAAACATACGGTGTTCCGTTTGTGAACGTAGTTATTTGCTTTGATTTATGACTGAAGGCAGGATTTTCTTTGTTTCGTTTGCCCACACAATTTTACTATATATGCTATCCCTACTTGTTAAATATTTGCACTGATTCCGACCGAATGCTAACCAAGATAAATGGCTAAGCATTTCGAGAAAATCCTCTCATCCGTTTTATTTACATACATTTACTCATTGCAACTAATAGATTTGTAATTTGTTTGTGGAACCGAGCAAAAAAAATATGACTTGTACCAATAACATGACAAATCTTTGGATTTTAAACGGTAAAGTAAGACCATTTAATATTCAATTTCATACACGTTAAACTCATCATTCTTCAAGATTATTAATATCATTCTAACTCCAGTAAGCTCTTAAAAATTAACTGTATATGAGAGAATCTTACCTGATGATGTTAGCTTTCCAGTCTTTTCAGACAGTTTATAGTTTCCTGGATTGATAGACATTTTTTGTTCTGTAATTAAAAAAAAAATTATATTTATTATGTTTTTTTTTTTTATGTAAATATTTATGTTTCTTGTGCTATGGCAATGAGCATGAAAAAGCATAAATCTTTTGTATGAAATATTTAGGCTTTTATCAAAACATGTGGATTCTTTTTGGTAATGAATCTGCACGATCATCTGGTATATTGTACACAAAAAATCTAGGACATGCCCCATAGATTAAAAATTAGGTACCACGTTTTTTTGTACAATATATCAGATGATCGTGCATATACAAACATAAAATTCAAATGTATTGATTACTTGGATGAGTCCATTTGAAAATTATTGTATTTCTATGACCAAATGTTTATTTTAAGCTTATGTGCTCAATTTTGTAAGAAAATATTTAATTTTCGCTCAGTTTTGGAACGAAGTGAAGATAAAACTTAATTTTTGGTTTTCAAATATTTTGTGTTGTATAATTTATAGTAGGGAATTTTAGCTCTCGAAATAGTTGATATTTTCTTCTTGAGATGAGTGACCTTGAAAAGTCTTCATATAATCATAATTACTAGATTGCAGTTTTTAGTTTGATAAAATGATTCATTATTCAATGGTCAACTTTTTGTTTCACTCAAATGATTTCTTTTTTCTTCATTCTTTCGTTAATGACGTAGATTTTCATGATTGTACCATTGTGAGCACATGGTATGAAAGATTTGAATGAATAGTTCATGTTGGTTTATGGAGAAGTGTTTTTGGCGTAGAAGAAAAAAATCAAATTTATTTTTGCTTTCATAACAAATTGAAAGAAATCAACCACACTGAATGTAATAAGAAAAATAAGCCATGACCCTTGTCGTCATGCTTCCGTATTTCAACGAATTGAAAAATACTCAAAACGAGTGTTCTTCAATTGTTTTTTATTTTCTTCAAATCTCTATACGTTTGCTTTATTCTAACTTACCAATTAACCTTCTCAGGTCTTCGATGTATTGTCTAATGATAATCACTGTGTGTACAATATATTCGTTAAACCACCGTCCCGTAAATAAAAGAAAACAAACAATTTGTTGTGTTGAATTGTATAATTTTCAGTGTGTGAGAGTTCAAAGTTTTAAGCACTTTGTTGGCCACAAACCAAAGCAAATTGATCACAATTTGAGAAGACTCTTAACGAAATACAAAGTAAAACCAAAAGTAAAATTATGTCTTTTTTTAATTAGATTGATGTAAGTATTGAATATATAATTTTTCAATTGAATTCGAAATTGTTTCTTTCTTTTTTTTTTAAACTATTCAATTGAATTTTGTGTGTCGTAATTTCAATACGATTTCTTACTTCGTAACAATCACAGGCCCACTAATTGAAATCGGCTTCGACTTTCGTTTAACCTTTCTGAATTGGAGTAGTGTTGTGAAAGGTATGAAGCTTTCTCTTCTTCCCTTTTTTTTAAGCCTGGTATATATACAGATATGTGTATATATATCTGTGTGTATGTGAGTTTTCTCTCTCTCGTGTGTTCCTTCGATGACAAAATATTTTTCGTTTAATTTTTACAGGACGGACGGTAACAAAACGGCTAAACTGTCTGACGATCTTCGAAGCTATGGCACATTGTTCAATTCACATGCTCCAAACATATTTCATTTGCAGTATTTGTATGAGGAAATGAATTGCGAGCCTTGCACATATTCGGTTTTACATAAGAGATGCTTCCCCTGTTGCCTGATAGCGAGAGCCATGGCTTGGCTGAGAGAAACTTTTCAGTGAGACGAATGCTACCGATTTTAATCCATAACATTTCAAACCATTTATATAAAACTCCTGATGACGTCATGAGTTGCCATATTTTGTAGGCGGAGCCATATCCTTTTTGGCGTTCACTATTGTCACGCGCACACACACGGTAAATAATGTGTGGGCTGGAAATTTTTTGGATACTCTCAATGCTTAGCATCAATATTCATGTTTTTTTGGTTTGCGTGGGTGGATGGAGCGTAATTTTTTTTTGTTAAAATATATTTTATTGTTGGCACCTCCATACTTTGCATTTCATCCAAAAGCGTTTGGCTCTTAGGTATCAAGTGTTTTGAACTATTTTCCAATTTTTGCTCTCTTCCCATGGTTTCGACAACAGGGCTTGTTGTAATAATAAAAAAAAAACATCAATACAAGTGTTTTTTAGAGGGGGTAAAGATATAACTTCACAGCTGCAAAATTGTCGATTTTGTAACTTTTTCTATTCGATCGCTATCAGTAGCATCACTTTTTGTGTTTTGTTTTGTTGTTTTAGTTTTTCTATTCTGTGCATGCAATAAAACATGCTATCCGAACTTTTTTGCTATTTTCCACTTTCTTCGATTCCATTTTGTTCATCAACGCACAAACACAATGCAAGAAAAAAAAAAGAGATAAAAACTCTGAATCACATCTTTTAAATCAATGCCTACGCACGCTTTTCCTCAACAATCATCGTTTATACACGTTTCGTTTATACACTGATACTACAGTATAGGAATTGAATTTTATGATCCATTTATACGTGATTGTCATGGAAATTCTTTAGTGTATACAATTCGCATGTTCGTTGTTTTGTTTGCAGCCATTCTTTTATTTTAATTGTAGGCAATCGCCAAAACACAAGATTGCAGTAATAAAAAAAAACAGAATAATCATAGTCAACATTGACGTGCCAAATTGACTGACTGATTGGATTTGAAAATTTGTATGAAATACAAACAATTTTAACCAAGACAGCCGCTATAAGTCGAAAAAAAGCATTCAAAATTAACTGAATGTTTTACACTCGGAAATCGTCGGAAATCATTCACTATTCTATTTAATGGTATTCTACACAGAAACTAAAAAAGATAAAATCCACTTTATCAATCCACCTGAAGGGTAGAGTAATGTTGCAAAGTGATATAAAATTAATTTCACATTTCTTTTTCGGGCCTAAAAATAAGACTCCAAGATCTTAAGAATTAACTACTTGGCCTGATTTCAATCATTCATATAAGTTTTCGCATTGAAAACAGTTTTTTGAAGTGATTCTTAGCAAAAATTATAGGTTTTCCCAAACACAAAACGTAAGAACGAAGTAAAGTGTTTTATTCTGAGATTTTTTTTTTTTCAGAACGATAACATCACAAGCTATAAAACATTTTGCTTTTTTTTGCTTGCGCTTTCTTCCTTTCAAAATAACTTACTTTTTTCCAGGATTAGTTTTTTAATTAAGTCCCTCATTGTTGAATCTGGTATTAAGTTGACAACAAAAAAAAAATTCTGGAAATTGATAATGTATTTCGGAAAATGTAACACGAACCAAACTGCTCAAAGTAAACACAAATGTTCCAAATTCAAAAAATTGAATTTCGAACATAAATAGCAAAGCTTTCAACTTTCAGATCGAATGTAGAATGAAATCCATGTCCTCATTATATACATCTCACCTTTTTAAATTAATCGTCTTGTAAATTTCGTCTAGACAAAAAAAATTATATCTTGTTTATCAATAATTATCAAATAAAAGCTAATGACGTTATAACTTTCATTTGGAAGTGTCAGCGTACATATATATTTATTAAACAGGGTGTATTCTGTTGATTTGGTTATGCCAAGAAGACTGCCTTTATTCAGATTACAAGTTAGTATTCATACAGAATATATCGTGAGCATAGTCCACTATGTGTAGTTCGTGTCTTAGGTTTATGTTATCGAATGGTAACTGTGGAATTTTTCCGGTGCTCTGGGGCTGAAGAATCTGTATCTTATATGTTCCATATACATTTAATTTTTATAATATTGTACAGGGTGTGCCAGAATAACTGTCGGGTTTATATATGAAAACGACAATTTGGAGTGGAATTTTGATTTGATTTTATTTTCTAGTAGGATTTAACATGAAATTTTAGATTTAGCCTTTGGATTTAATTCTTCGCCCATTTTGTTTGATTACTAGCTTCAGACGTGTTGAAAATGAGTCGCACGCGGAACACAATTCATTCATGGGAATTTCGTTCAAAATCTTTACGATTTTCTTTTTGAATGTGTTCAAATTGGTAACCTTAGTAATCTTTAGATGATTGACCTTCGATGTCATGTAGTCCCATGCAAAAAAATCCAATGGGTTTAAGTCGGGAGACGATGGCGGCCATGAATATTTGTCAATGAAATCGGCCAAATTTGTTCGTAACCACTGTTGCACTATTTTAGCTTGGTGTGCAGGTGCGCCATCCTGCTGAAACACCCATGGTTCGTTTTGAAACAATCTCTTGGCTTGTGGCCAATTTTCGATCGGCCGAAAATACGTCTCAAACCATCAGTTTTGGAACATTCTGAAATCGTTCAACGGTTTTTTCGTATTCAGGAATGTCTACTGCAGACACTGCATACACACGATCATTTTATGCATTGAGACTTGGCTGTAGCAAAAACAACTTTTCATCCGAAAAATCGATATTTGAATTGGCGTGCCGGTGAAACAGATCTTTGCATTTTTGTTTTCTGGCTTGCATGTCGACGGCTTTTTTTGAAAGGTGTCGTGTTTAAGTCTCCTGCGACGAGCATTGAAGTATGACTGATGTTATGCGCTTGAGCCAGCTTTCTCGAACTTCTTTGGCGATTTCGGCGAATTTTGGCTTTGAATTGTTTGATGAGTGCTTTTGTACGAACGGATCTTTTTCTCCCGGTTTTCTTTTGTATGTAAACAGTGCCACGTTCCTTGTATCGTTTAATGGTACGTTAAATCTCATGCAAGCCTGTTCATTTTGTGGCTGTCGGAAAATATCAATATTTCGAAAACCACGTTTGTGCAAATTTAAGACGAGTTGACGTTTCTCAAATAAACAATGAATCGAAATGCGCATTATCACAATACTTTGGCTAAGGATTAACAAACATAACGGTACAAGACCGGGTGTATCACAATAGACTGTACTGTCGTATGAATATTACATATAAACCCGACAGTTATTCTGGCACACCCTGTAGACTTGTAGACGTCAACATCGTACGTATTGTCATTGGACTCGTATAAGATAAAGCACCTGACCGAGAACGCCATAAATTTTGTTATATTCACCAAAATTTAAGAAACAGTCAAATTTTACAATGTCTTGTATTCAAGCTGGGTAACCTTTGATAAATGAACGTTTTTATTGTAACTCAAGCGCATCGTATTCAAACTAGATGCATTTTTTTCACTGATTGCGCAAGCGATGCATGTGGTTGCTTATTAAATCCAATTACTACTGAAAATACATATTAACATTTAATAATTTTTATTTTTTTTTAAAATAGTAATAAAAATAGTGTAAAAATAGACTAATCATATGAAATCGTGCAGACACACCTAATCATGAATCAAGAGTAATCAAGTGATAAACGTAACTTTAATAAACGAAACTTTATTTAGCTTGAAGTCACAGATGAAAACAGACTTAATAATGAAATTTAAACAGCTGTTTGATTATCATTGTTTATTATAATCAAAATTTTGATAAAAATAATCAGCATTACCACATGGTGCTAGAAGACATTAAGTAATTAATTTATTCGTGCAATTAATCGTTTTATTTGAGAAGAGGTAAGAGATGGCTCGGTTGAAAGATTACGAAAAATAAATGACTCATTAGTTTAAAATTCATATTTCAAGAAGAAGACAAAGGAAATAATATCAAATCGCAAGCATAAAGGAGCTGTTTAGAGTTGTTGGTGAAAAAAAGACAGAATTCATCTCGTTTCATTCGAACTCACAAAAACGGTGAGCAATTTATTTTAAGAAGAAAAACACTATGTGTACGATTGAAATAATCGATGGGAATACAAATGTCAGTGTTTTGGAATTAATTAAAAGTTACTTTAATGTAACTAAAAATAAAATGTCTTACATCCGTAAAATATGTCTTTTTCGCACTATGATCCACAACATGCATTTATTACGTATCTTTTACCGTAAATATGAATTCATGAGAAAACTGAATCTGATATAAGTTTTGCGATACAAATAATTTTTGTTGGACTTTTCAATGCCTGTATGATATCGTTATCATGTAAAAATTTGCAGATGTAATTGAAATTTTTGTATGAAAAGTGTGTCGAAACCCCCCAATACACATTTTTACACGAGTGTTAAAGTATACATTAAATATCACTTTTGGAAGAAAAATTGAATTTTTCCCATGGATGGCCATGGGTATCACACCAGACATGACACGTCACTCTAACAACCAAAGTCGCTCAAAATCTAATGGTTTCTATTCCGCGGCACCCCCAATGATCCTGTGAAGTCAGATTTTGAATTACTTTTCTTGTTTGAAAGTTATCGTGTTAACAAATTTTTAGATTCGTGTTCCTTGGCCCCAAAAACACCCAGAAAACACATTTTTTATGGGTGTAAATTTTTCGACCGATTCCAATACTTTACCTTTCACACTAGGTGTGTGCGGAAAAGTAACAATGTATTGCGTGTTCATTTTGCTAAGATCTTTTTCTAAAATATCAGCCTCCCATTTGCCAGCTGAAATTGCAAACAAAATTGACAAAAAAAATGAATATCACTTTAGTCGCTGAAAATGATGCTTCAAAAAACAATATTGTATCTTGTTCACTCCACAAAATTAAATTCCATATACTTTGCAGACTGAAACGTGTAAATGATAATATTGCATTGGAATTTTTTGATTGCGCGGTTCATCGTAACATGGTTATTGTTATTTCATTTGTTTAATGAACCAGATGATAATCATTTTTTACGGGTCACATATTTATCCTCGGCCGAGTCATTCATAAATCGATATTTAAGTAGTGCTTACCTCACCAGCCCAAATGTTTTTTTTTTTCATCTACACGTTTTTTTATGTGTCAAAGAAGCAAGGTCATAGTAACGTCATCAGATTAAATTGAACTGCAAACACACACATCGATAAAAAAAAACCATAAGATCGAAATGGTTAAACAAGAAACGTATACAAAAGTAGAATAACACTTGATGCTGTTGATTGTTTTTTTTCAAGGCTTTTCATTTAATCTTTCATACATACATGCGATGTTATTTATGATTTATTTCTAGTAATTTGCGATGAACAAAATCAATCGCATCACTAATTAAAATAGAATTTTATACGGAAAAACAAAATAAAATTGAATTATAATAAAAACTCGTAGACAAACTAATCGATACTTTAAGCGGTTTACAATAATGAGATACGCATTTGAACGCCAAAATAAGACAACATCGACTTTGTAATAATTTCAGTGTTTTCACAAACACTGTTTTGCAATGGTGGTGGACGTGATTATTATTAAATTTTTTTGAATTTCAATGCTGCTATGCCAATGAAGCTTCAACAGTATCAGTTCAATCACTAACTGAGAAGAACATACAAGAATTTTAAGAAGAAGCTATAATATTTTGCGCGAAGAATATTTAAACATGAGAAAAGTTTGTCATACATATATATTTATTATTTTGTTCAATTTGTGTGTTACTTTGGTTTAATTTAAATTTGATTTGTTTGTTTGTTTCTCTTCTTTCACTAGTTTGTTTTGATATTTTTGTTTCAAATGATGATAATAATTTCATCAACGATGAGCTATCCGGTAGAGTCGAATGATACACCAATTAAAAAAATTGTCATTCGACCAACAACTCGCAGTGATTTGATTCAAGCACAACAGCACCACACAAAAGTCCACAGTAATCGCGGTCGAAAAATTGAATTGGGGCCATCAATTATCAAAGTATTAAAAAAACCAAGGATTAAGGCGACGAAAACACCGATGTCAAATCATTCAAAGAAATTCGATTCAAAAATCCATATTTTACCAACCGGAGAAAATTCTGTTCACTATGCTAAAGCAAAAGCAAATGGTAGTTTTCGTAATAGTCCAATTAGTTTGATTAATTGATCGCAGAAAAAGATTTATTTGGTTCTTTAATCCAGACAATGTATTGAACTAACTGGTCAACTGAGCTGACAGTACGTTAGCCAGATAAATGGGCTTAAACAATAAATGTTATTGTTATAATGATGAATCACTTCTATTGGTTTAATCAAAGTGATTGATTACTATAACAATAACTTCTATTGTTTCATATTCATTTGGCTGGCTTACGTACTGTTAGCTCAGTTGACCAGTTAGTTCAATATATTGTCTGGTTTTATTCATGTTATGAAAAAAGTCATATAAAAATTTACTAATTTGAATTCTAACACATTTTAAATAAATTCATAAAAAATCGATTTTTTGTCCCACAAATTTTACAAAAATTTCGAAAAAAACATGACATGACATTGTTCATGATGACAATATATATATATTTGACTCGCTTATCTAGAAGGATGGGCAAAATTGGCCTAACACTAGTACTAAAATATTGTGTATAAAAGTTGTAAAAAATCAATATATTTTAACAATGTAACAATACACGCTTATTTTGTTTTAAATAATACGCCCAGACACAAGAACAATTCAACAATATTGGTTAACTAATATCATGATGACCATTGGCTGTTGATTTGTGGAAAATCCAATGACTAACGTATTGGGAGATTTAATTACATTTGACCAAGGTATTTAAGTTATTTTATGCCACTGAAAGCAAATACTACCTACTGTCTTAGCCTTTGCTTAATTAATGTGATGCAATTGATTCATTTTGACAAATTGCCATTGTCATACATTTTCAACATTACAAAAATAATAATTCCAATAAAACAGGTAAACAAATTAAAAGAAAAAAATAATTGATTTTTTTAACACTTATGATATTTTTTTTAAACTATTGCATGAACTTTGTTGTCATGTGTGCGTTTTCCGGAAAAAAGACCGCCTGTAATTAAATTTTCATGCCGGTGTCAAGATTTAGTGCTTTTTTGAGTACCTCGTATGTAGAAAATGAGACAATACCATTTTCATTGTAAATGTGCTTGAGTGTCGTGACCATTCTAACTCTGAAACAAACATTTATTAATGTGATATATTAAGTTTGTAGCCAAAAAACATAACATGATTATAATGCAATTATATTTTGTTGTAAATAAGCATGAAACTTCAGCATAAAGAAAATTGAAAATATTTTTTTTTTACATAACGTACCCAAATCGAGCCGTTGCTGCATAGCTGTCCACGAACGTTCGTTCGTTCGTTCGTAGAATATTTTTTTGGTCTTTTTGTTCGTTCGTTCGTTCGTAGAAAATGAATTGTTCGGATTGTTCGTTCGTATGTTCGTACGAACAACGAACAACGAACACGTTCGTTCGTTCGTAATTTCTGGAAATTTATTTCCTCAATGTATAAAAATATTGCGATAATAAATATAAATTGGGAAAACTTTAAATCGATTTTTCCCACTTTTCCGATAGGAAATCGTGAAAAATAAGCAAAAAGTGGTTCGAGTCCAAATCCAGTGGAATTCTGCTGATCAATGGATTCTCAGGATTTGACCTGGATTCCAGAACTTCCATAATGTAATTACAATTAAAAATACATACAATTACACGAAGAATGGTTTTTTTTGTAGAATATCTTTATGGAAGTTTTAGAATTCAGGTCAAATTCCACCGGATATTGAACTTTAGGCTATTGAACTGCTCGGATGTTGTGGCTCCCTATGAGAGTCAACATTTTGCTTATTTTTCACGATTTCCCATCGGATAAGCGGGAAAAATCGATTTAAAGTACGAACATACGAACGAAAAATCCGAACAATTCATTTTCTACGAACGAACAAAATATACATTGAAAACGAACGAATGGTTCGTTCGTTGGTGTTCGTGGACAGCTATGCGTTGCTGGATCCATCATAGCCAATTGCATTCTTCTTTTCGTCACATCCAAGGGATACGAAAAGGATTGAGCTATTGCACCAGCTAAACCATCGGCTAAAAGTTCGGCAGGAATATTCAAAACTAGGCCGAAACCAACCCCCCCTGATGTCAAACAATGAAAAAAGATTCATAACATACAACACCATCTCTTGGTATGCCACATATCTGTTTTTTTCTCCACAATGTGGAGAAAGTGTTTACGTATACGTATACGTTGACATTAATAATCTGTCAAAACCGTAAACACATTATTTTCATAACGCAATTTTGCGAGAGTTCCTATTAGTTGAAAAAAATTAAATTTTTGTGTGCAAACTGTAA